CCCTCCGGGGCATTTGGCCCCCCCCCCCCGGCTCCATTCCTGTCCTAGTTGCCCTCAGATTTCTGCCAAACATCAAGCAAGGAGGACTAGAGTCAGACATAGAGAAGAATTCCTGACGTTTTTCCTGGGCTTAGGTGCCCAGGGTGAGAGAACCAGATCAGCACTGTCAGGAGGTATTTACCTCGGTGGTAGAATGCCTACCTAGCAAGGGCACAAGGCCCTGGGTTCAGTCCCCAGCACCAGAAAAAAGAAAAGAAAAAAGAAAGACAGATTAGGGCCAGCAAGATGGCTCAGTGAGTAAAGGTGCCTGACACTAAGCCTGATGACCTGAGTTCAATCCCTGAGACCCACATGTAGAAGGAGAGAACCAATTCCCAAAAGTTGTCCTCTGGCTTCCACATGTATTCTGTGCCCCCTGCCCAGACACAGACAGATAGACAGACAGACAGACAGACAGACACACACACGCGCACACACGCACGCACGCACGCACTCATGCACACACACGCACTAAAATAAACATGCTGAAACTCCCAAAAGTTGTCCTCTGGCTTCCACATGTGTTCTGTGCCCCCTGCCCAGACACAGACAGATAGACAAACAGACAGACAGACAGACACACACACGCGCACACACGCACGCACGCACTCATGCACACACACGCACTAAAATAAACATGCTGAAACAAAACAGAAAAAGACAGATGAGCACCACTGAATGAGCACTCCCCACTCAGGCCATGACCTCCCTTTTTCCTCCTGTCCCCAGACTCTGAGCCTGTGAACCCTTCTACCAGCCTGTGACCTCTCTCCATCCCTTTTCTCTCCTCCAGCGGTGTCTGGAATGTGCCTTACATCTCGAACATCTACCTAATCAAGGGCAGCGCCCTGCGGGCAGAGCTACAGCACCTGGACTTGTTCCATCACAGCAAGCTGGACGCAGACATGAGCTTTTGCGCCAATGTCCGGCAGCAGGTCAGCAGGATTGTGCAGACACTGGGGACACTGGGTCTCTAGCTCTGACCTCACACTGGGCTAGTTTGACACCATGTGCTCGCAAGTTTCTGAGAGACCAGCAGGGCCTGAAGGAGGTTCATGGGGCACTGGGAGTCTGCAGGGACCATTTTGGAATACTCAGTTTTCTCATAACATACACACATTTGTTGTTTGTTTTTTTTTCATTGATATTTTGAGATAGAATCTTGTAGCCAGGCTGCACTTGAACTCCTGATCCTCCTACCTCAGTTTCCCACGTGTAGCACTACCCCGGTTTATTTTCAATTTTGAGATAGCCTACAGAAAACTGAACTCTGCCTCAGTGTAGTCTGGGTCGTATGCACAAGAGACCTTTACCCTGTCTGCATCCCACCTCATGTTTCTTGGTTGTTTTGTTTCTGTTTTTCTGAGACAGGAGCGGGTTGGCCTTCAGCTCATTATCCTCCTGCCTCCACCTCATGAGTGCTGGGATCCTAGGTGCGTGCCTGCCGTGATACCTGGCTCCCACTCTGTATTTCTTTGCGATTTTTTTTTTTCCCCAGTGCTGGGATTGAACTGAGAGTCCCATTCAGTGATTTGAGTTTTTCGTTCTTGGTTGTGTTTTTGCTGTTTTATTATTATTATTATTTGGGGTACGTGGGCCACTTTGTGTGTGTGGAGGCTGGAGGACAACTCTGTGCAGTGATTTCTCCTGCCTTTATTTATTTATTTATTTATTTATTTATTTATTTATTTATTTGGGTCTCTCTGTTGCCCTAGCTGTCCTGGAACTCACTATGTAGACCAGGCTGGCCTTGAACTCACAGAGATCCGCCTGCCTCTACCTCCCGAGTGCTGGGATTAAAGGCGTGCGCCACCACACCCGGCTTATTTATTTTTTTTAACAGGAAAATATTCTCATTTTTATTTCTTCGTGTTATTTCAAGCACACATTTACAATGTCATCGTTAGATGTTTTTCTTACATGTTTCATTGTAGTTTATGATGTGTACAAAGAAGAGGCATATCCTTCTGCTTTTAAATGGTTCCCAAGGATCAAACTCAGGTCATCAAGTTTTTGCTGCAAGCATTTTCACTCACTGAGCCCTCTTGCCAACCCTGATGTGTTTGTTTTAATGGAACAGCGTGGTGTTACCAGTGTGTCAGGGTCTGTCCTTGGTAGAGCTCTTGTGCAGCAGGCTTGAGGCTGAGTTTGAGCCCCAGCACTGCTAACCAAAACGGAAGGAAGAGAGAGTCCCCTATTTTCACATCAGTCCTTCAGGAAGCTGGCTCTCATTATGTCCTCAGTGTGGGGCGGGGCCGAGTGCTGGGGACACATACTGTACTCTTGGGTCCTCAATCTTGTAAACTTGAATCTACTGATAGATTGCACTGTTCCTCCCTGGGGTGTGCACAATGAGGGGGCACCTTTCATCCATCCACTTTCCACAGGAGGTGTTCATGTTCCTGACCAACCGGCATACCTTCGGCCACCTGCTTTCCCTGGACAACTACCAGACCACCCATCTCCATAATGATCTCTGGGAGGTGTTCAGCAATCCCGAGGTAAGACCCAGGTGGGTGGGCCTAGGTGGAGAAGACTTCAGTTCTCTGATTCTGTGGCCAGAGATATCTATGTGGCCTGTCCGCGTGTCCTGACTCATTTCCAGGACCCAGTTCTAATAAGGAGGGTGCTGTAGACACAGCGCCATCTAGTGGAGGAGGGACTAGGCATCATGACCCAGGTCCTCCAGATGTGACTCAGTTGAACCTCTCCTTGAAGGCCTCACTTACCTTGGCTCTAAAATGGGTCTTCCCTGTAACCCCGAGGGTGTTGTGATGGTCAGAGGAAGTGATGGTTTTGACAGTGTAGCAACATGTTGGTGTGTATAGTTGACATGGGTGTTTGCACTCAGACATGTATACACAGTGAGGCAAACACAAGATCCTGTGGGCACACTTGTGTATGCAGATAGCACCTGTCTGCCCTGGGCATGTCCATATTCCCTCATGTTTTGAAGGGCCTGCGGGCAGGAGATTTTCTGGGAGCAACCCGTGCCTTTGAGCTCAGAGTGAGCCGCGGCCTGCCTGGGGACCCCATCCTGTGTTCCTCTCCCTACAGGATTGGAAAGAGAAGTACATCCACGAAAACTACACCAAGGCTCTGGCGGGGAAGCTGGTGGAGATGGTAAGGGGTTCACACCTCACACCTGCTGCTGTGGGGACACATCGGGGAGGAGATAGATGTGAGGGGAGGCACCTTTCTGTACACTCTGGCGGTGCCTGGGGCTAGAGCACACACCCTAGGCCAGCTGAGGTTTGCAGGGCTTTTGCAGGAAGGAGCGAACTGCTGGGCATGGTGGTACAGGCCTGTATTCTCAGAATTCAGGAGGCAGAGGCAGGAGGATTGGGAGTTCGAAGCCAACCACCAACCTGGGCTACATGAAACTTTGTAAAAGAGATGGATGTGGTGGCACATGCTTTAATCCCAGCACTCAGGAGGCAGAGGCCAGTGGAGCTCTGTGAGATCAAGGCCAGCCTGGTCTACATGAGACCCTGTCTCAGAAAAATGAGGCAAGGAGGAGGGACCATCCTCCAATGCATGCTTTAGGCCAAGAGTGAAGAGTGGTTGAGTCGCTCAGTTACGTCCGTAGTCTCTGCTCCGATCCTAGGTGTGGACTCGTGGCTGATATTGGTAGCAGTGACTGTGGCTAAGAAAGTCCATCTCTGACCTCTGCCGCCTCTCTTCAGTTATTCACTCAGTCTACCCAGCATCTACTGAGCCCTTGCTCCCCAGGGATGCTCAGGGGCTCCCAGAAGCTCTGGGAACTGGCTCAGGTAGATCATAAGATGGGTCCTGCAGTGCAGGGAAGAAGACATGAGACTGCCACTCAGGACCCCCGTGACTGAGTCTTCACTCTTCCCAGCCTTGCCCAGATGTCTACTGGTTCCCCATCTTCACGGAGGCGGCCTGTGACGAGCTGGTGGAGGAGATGGAGCATTATGGTCAGTGGTCTCTGGGTGATAACAAGGTATGACTGCAGATGCCCAGGCTGGTTGGGGGAGGCCACCCTCACCCAGGCTGCCCTTCTGGGTACTTCTGACTACCTAGCCAGTCTCCCAGGACTCTTCACATAGAGGGTGCAGGCATGGAGGAATACAAGGTTAAGAAACCGAAAGTGGAATGTTGGTTCCCTAAGTGGTCATTGCCACAGTGTGGCTTTGAGCTGCCTTAACATAAAGGGGTAGGTTTTCAGCTCCCAGCTTGCTATTAGAATGCTTTAGCTTCCTGCCCAGGTCTAAGTGTGGAATGGAGCGAAAATAAGCCAGTGGGGGACAAAGGACATCAGGATGTGGTATCAGGTGCAGATTCACCAGACATCTGACACAGGTGTCTTGGTGGACGTAAGAGGCTATGTTCTTGGAGGGAGGAGTCTCTTGCCTACACATGAGCTTGGGAGAGTCAGGCACTGCTTTTAATGATACACAAGACCCTGGACCTATGTGTTTCTGATTGGCTGACCTTTACCTTTGGCCCTGCAGCTGGACCGCTTCTGTTTACCCACCTAATCTGGGTATTTTGATGTCTGGGCAGATATAAAGTAATTCTTACATTCTAGGGTTCTTTTTTTTTTAATCAATTTTTTTTGAGACAGGGTCTCCCTGTGTCCCTAGGTGGCCTGGAACTCCCTGTGTAGACCAGACTAGCCTTGATTTCACAGAGATCTACCTGCCTCTGCCTCCTGAGTGCTGGGATTAAAGCTGTGTGCCACCTGCCACGCCAGGCTTTTAATTTTTATTTATGTGTATGTGTGTTTTGCCTGCGTGTATGTATGTACACAATGTATATGCATTGCCCTCAGATGCCAGAAGAGGGCATCCCTGGAACTGGAGTTACAGACAATTGTTAGCCATCATGTGGGTACTAGGAACCGAACTTCAGACCTCTGCAAGAGCAGCCAGTGCTCTTAACCGCTGAGCCATCTCTTCAGTCCCAATTCTGGGGTTCTTTATGATTCAGTGACAGAGGCAGCCTCTGGACCCCAGAGACTAAGCTAACAGTGGCTGTCTGTACTATGCTATATGACAAACAATCATAAACTTAAAAGAACACCCAGACTGGGGAGGTGCATACACACACACACACACACACACACACACACACACGCTTTAAAAAAATAAATAGCAGAGCATGGTGGTGCACACCTTTAATCCCAGTACTTGGGAGGCAGAGGCAAGTGAGTCTCTGTGAAATTGAGGCCAGCCTGGTCTACGTAGCAAATTCCAGGCCAGCTGAGGCTACAAGGAAACCCTGTCTTAAAAAATAAAAAACAAACCCCTGAAAAGTACCCATTCATTATCTCCAATTTCTTTCGAGACAGGGTCTTACTATGTAGCCCAGGCTGGCCTAGAACTGGCTTTGAAGACTAGGCTGGCCTCACACTCACAGAGATCTGCCTGCCATTTCTTCTTGAGTGCTGAGATTAAAGGCATGTGCTACTATAGCTGGATTCGCTCCTGGTTTCTGAGGGTCAGGATGCAGTCGTAGTTTGTCTGGGTCCTCTGCTCAAGGTCTCACAAATCTGCAGTCTAGGGTCTTCTGGAGCTGGTCCTCATCTGGAGCATGGGATCCCATTCCGAACTCACTAATGATGCAGTTGTTGGCAGAATTCCATTCGCTGAAGTTGAAGAGCTTGGGACTGCTGGTTCTCCAAGGCTAGCAGGAGACATGGCCTGTGTACCCAAGATTCTCCTTTAAAAGGCTAACCCAGTAGGTCTGGCCACCCAGGTTAACCTCCCTGTCAGTTAATCCCACTTTGGCAGATTAGGACCTTAATTACATCCTCAAATCCCCTCTACTCTGCCATATCATATGACACAATTCCATCCTGTACTCAGCTCAAAGGGAGGGGATGAGTCAGAGTCTAGGAACCAGGTCATGGGAGTCTAGGTGGCTTCCTAGAATTCCGATTACCATGTTCTCCATGGTCACTTCCAGGACAGCCGCATCCAGGGAGGCTATGAAAATGTCCCCACCATTGACATCCACATGAACCAGATCACCTTTGAGCGGGAGTGGCACAAGTTCCTGGTGGAGTACATCGCCCCCATGACGGAGAAGCTCTATCCCGGCTACTATACCAGGGTGGGTCTGCCTAGGGTGACGCAGGATGGGGAGGTGGCAGGGGGAGTTCCAGCTTTAGGGAGAGACTGGACATTTGGTCCCCAGGGAGGAAAGGGGTCTCTACACTATTAGCATCATTAGGTGGGTTGTTGGTCAAGGAGGAAGAGGTGGTGTGTGTGTGTGTGTGTGTGTGTGTGTGTGTGTGTGTGTGTCTAGTCAGAGCCTCTAGGGTGGGGCCTTGGAAAAATATCTAGATTTCCAAAGTGCTGCCTTAGCCTCTGGCCATGGTTCTTATGAATCCTTTCTATGTCTATATTATTTATTTAGTGGCACTGGGGACTGAATATAGGGCCTTCCATGTCTAGACAGTAGTCTACCACTAGCCATTTGTTGTTGTTGTTGTTTTTCCTTTTTTTTAAATGAAAAAAATTTCTTTTGTTGGTTTTCAGACAGGGTCTCCCTGTAGCCCCAGCTGTCCTAGAACTTGCTATATTTAGACCAGGCTGTCCTCAATCTCAGAGAGATCCACCTGCCTCTGCCTCTCAGGTGCTGGGATTAAAGGCACGCACCCAAGCCTGGTGGAAAAAATTATCTTTAAGGCAGGGCCTCCCTGTGTAGAGCAGGCTGGCTTTGAACTCCAGACAGTCCTCCTTGCTCTGCCTCCCAAGTGCTGGGATTTCAGATGTGAGCCACTATGGCTAAATCCCAGTTCTTTTACTTTTTATTTTGAGACAGAGTCTCACTATAAATTGCCTAGGCTGACCTTGAACTCACTCTGTAGCTAAGGCAGACTTTGAACATTGAATCCTCCTGCCTTAGTCTCCTGAGTAACTAGGATTATAGGTGAGTACCAGGAAACCTGGCACTCTGTGTCTTTATTTATTTACTATAAATTTTATTTTATTTTATTCATGTATTGATTGATACATGGTCTTGCTAAGTATCACTAGCTATTCCAAAACTCATTATGTAGCCCAGGCTGGCCTTGAGCTTGCAAGAATCCTCCCTCCTCTGCTTCCTGAGTGCTTACATATGCATGCCACTATGCCAGGCCTGCCATCTGTATCTCTAAGCTCTGTTTCCACTGCTCCACCAGCCACCAAAAGAGCCACTCAGCTGGTGGTCTGGTTCTGTCCTTCGCATCTCTCCAGTCTTATCCTCCTGGCTTATGAGGTGTTGGGGATGGACCCCAGGGCATCATGCTTGCTAAGCAAGTGCTCTACAACTAAGCCACATCCCCAGCCTTCTTTTTTGAAAAAAAAAAAAAAATCAATGCTTTCTTTTTTATAAAAGGTTTTTTTAATTTTTATTTTATTTATGTGTGTGTGTATTTGTGTGAATGTGTGTATGTGTGTTTGTGTTTGCATGCATGCCATGTGTATGGTGCCCACAGAGGCCAGAAAAAGGTGTCAGACCTCCTGCAACTGGAGTTACAGGTGCCCTGTGTGGGTGCTGGAACTCTGGAAGAGCAAAGCAGCAAATATTCAAACTCTGAGCCATCTCTCTGGCCCCCTTTTTCATTTGGTTTTAAAATTACATTTATTTATTATTTATTTATTATTTGTTATTTATGTGTCCTCACACATGTGTGCTGTGGTCTGCATGTGGAGGTCAGAGGACAACTTTCAGCAGTCAGTTCTCTCCTTCCACCCTGTGGTTCTGGGGATGGAGTTCAGGCCATCAGACTTGATAGCGAGTGCCTTTCACCCTTGACCCATCTTGCTGTCCCCCCCCCCTTTTTTTTCTTCTTTCTTTCTTTTTCTTTGCTTATTTGTTTAGAGACATCATCTTCCCATAGCCCCAGACTGGCCTGGAACTTGCTATGTAGACCAGGCTAGCCTCAGTCCCACAAAGATCTGCCTGCCTCTGCCTCCTGGGTTCTGGGATTAAAGATGTTTACTATCACCCCCTTTTTCAGTTGTTTTTGTTTTTTTGTTTGTTGTTTGTCTGCTTTCTTAAGACAAGATCTTCTCAGTTTGTCACCTAAGCTTGGATGGAACTTGCTATTTAGACCAGGCTGGCCTCAAATTTACAGCAGTCCTCCCTCAGCCTCTAAGAGCTGAGATGACAGGTATGAGCCACCACGCCTGGCTCCTTCACTAACTTTCCCCAGGCATCAGCAGTCTAGATAGTGCCAGAAAGGGACAAGAGGATTGGATTCATTCCTGTCCTCTCTGTCTCCCTTTCCTCCCTTCTCGCTTCCCATCCCCTGTCCTTCCTTCCTCCTTCCCTTCTTCCTTACTTTCTTCCTGAGACTGTTTTGTAACACTGATGCACTGCTGTTAAGCAGACTTGTCCTCTGTGAGCCGACATCACAGGACATTAATGGAGCCTTACTATGTATACTCTACCTCTCCTGGTCCTCCCATGCCTCTCTTGACTGATACAGGCTCCCTTGTTCCCCGCACAGGCCCAATTTGACCTTGCCTTCGTCGTCCGATACAAGCCTGATGAGCAGCCATCGCTGATGCCACACCACGATGCTTCTACCTTCACTGTGAACATCGCCCTGAACAGGGTCGGGGAGGATTATGAGGTGAGCAGGAGCCATGGGGCCTAGAGATAGACCAAAATAGAATTCAAGCTAGCTGGTGAGCAGAGCCCAGGGTGATTATGACAGAGGTGCCTAGGACTCAGGAATGTGGGAGGGAGTCTCGGAATCCAGGTAGGATTGGGCATAGCATGACAGGAGGGTGGGTCATCAGAGGAGGCAGAGCATGCACTGCAGGTCTGGAACAGACGGCCTGGCTCTGCATCCCGCCACAGTAGCTCCTTGGCCTGGGTACCTTCCTTGGCCTCTACTTCTTCCTGTATTCACATAACTTCTGAGTTGTGAAGGGACCCAGGTCACCGCTTACAGGAAACCCCAGTCATTACTCGAGGATTGACAGCCACTGGTGAGAGCTTGGAATTCTCCTCATGAGAAGGAAGAAGGCTGAAGAAGTCTGCCTTGGGAGTGTGGGGACTGTTAGCTTTGGTGTGGACCGTACACTTGTGCCTGGAGGAAAGAACTAGGGAGACCAGGAAGACATGAAGGCGGGGAGGGAGCGCTCTTGGGGCCTCGGGGCCCCACCTAGGCCCCTGCATAGCATCAGTTAGGGAGCTACCTAAGCCTCCATTCACTCCTTACACGACTAATTTTTTGAGTTCTAGTGGACATAAAAACAGCTGCGCTGGGCCTGGGGAACGTGACTGAGGGTGGAGTGTTTACCTAATATACAAAGCCCTAGCACCACATAAAATCAGACATGGTGACCCACCCCTGTCATCCCAGCACTTGGGAGTAGAGGCAAGAGGATGAGATGTACAAGGTCATCCTCAGCTACATTATGAGCATGAGACCCTGTCTTTAAATTTTTTTATTTATTATTTTTATTTTATGTGTTTGAGTATATTGCCTACATGTGTATAAGTACACCCATGTGGTGCAGTGGCCAAAGAGGTCAGAAGAAGGTGTCAGATCCACTGGAACTGGAGTTATGAATGGTTGTCAGCCACCATGTGGGTGCTGAGAATAAAACCCAGGTCTCCTGGGTTCAGACAGCAGTCAATGCCCTTAACCACTGGGCCACCTTCCAGCCTTTTATTCCTTTTTGTTTTGGTCTTTTTGAGACAGGGTCTCCCTGCAGCCCCAGCTGACCTGGAACTTGCTATGTAGACCAGGCTGGCCTCGAACTCCCAGAGATCTGCCTGCCTCTTTTTAAAAAATTTTGTTTAGGGCCGGGCGTGGTAGTGCACGCCTTTAATCCCAGCACTCGGGAGGCAGAGGCAGGCAGATCTCTGTGAATTCAAGGCCAGCCTGGTCTACATAGTTCCAGGATAGCTGGGGCTACACAGAGGCCCTGTCTCAAAAAGACCAAAAATTTTTTTTTTTATTCAGAGACTCTGTCTTAAAGATAAAAACAAGCAGCTGGAGAGATGGCTTAGCAGTTAAGAGCACTTACTGCTCTTCCAGAGAACCTAAGTTCAGTTCCCAGCACCCATGTCAGGTGGCTCACAACCACCCATAGGATCCGACACCCTCTTCTGGTCTCAGTGGGCACATGCATGCACATATATAGACATGCACACACATCCATATAATTAAAATAAAACTTTTTTTTAAACTTAAAAACATTTTTTAAATTATTTTTGTGTGTATGCGTGTATTGCCTGCATGTAGGTAAGTGCACCCGTGTTGTGCAATGCTTGCGGCGGTCAGAAGAGGCTGTCAGATCCCCTGGGACTGGAGTTGTGGACAGTTGTTAGCTGCCATGTGGGTGCTGGGATTCGAACCTGGGTCTTCTGCAAGAACAACCAGTGTTCTTAACCGTCGAGCCATCTCTCCAGCCCCATAATAAAACTTTTTAAAAAGTAAATAGCTATGAATCTTGAGAATTTAACAGTGGAACAAGTGTTGCTCTGAGCTGGGAGTTCTCAACCAGGAGCAGTCCAGTCCCCCTCCCCCCCACCCCAAGAACATTGGCAATTTCATAGAGATGTTTTGAGTTGTTACACTATGAGGGTACTACTGGAATTTGGTGTGACTAGAGGGCAGGGATACCAGGACAGCCCCCAACAACAGAGTGTCATTCTGGAATTGAGTTCGTCCATGAACTCAAGCAACCCAGGGTTTCTTGCTAGGCAAGTGCTCTCTACCAACTGAGCTACACCCCAAAGCCAGCGCTAACCTTTGTATGTACATGAGTATGTAGCCCTTGCTGGCCTGGAACCCAGTGTGTAGCTGAGGCTGGCCTTAAGCTCCTGATCCTTCTGCCTCAACCTCTTGATTATGGGCATGTGTTGCCACATGTGGCTAAAACAAAGCTCTTATTGTACAATCTTATTTATTCCTGTCAACGCTCTGTAGAAACAGAAATGAAGGCTCAGGTGAGTCATAAAGTTAGTGAACAGTGGAGGTGACCTTTACCCAAGGCTGCCTGGTTCCAAGGTCAGGTTCTGTATTTCTTAGTGATGGCTGTCACTCCACTGGACATCTCCAGGTCCTCGGTGCTGATGGGCCCTTTGCTGTAGTGGAACAGAGAGGCTAAGGAGCAGTGGGGAGAAGGGGAGGAGAATCGGGGAGGACCCACTGACATTTCCTCTTTCCTAGGGTGGGGGCTGCCGGTTCCTGCGCTACAACTGCTCCATCCGAGCTCCGAGGAAAGGCTGGGCCCTTATGCATCCTGGCCGGCTCACACACTACCACGAAGGGCTCCCCACTACCAAGGGCACCCGCTACATTGCTGTGTCCTTCGTCGATCCCTAACTGGCTAGTGCTTGACTTCCTTGAAGATGTCCTCTTTGCTGACAACCACTGCTCAAACAGCCCCTGGGACCTCTGGATCCCAGGAAATTCCTGTTACTCTTGAAGCTGCCAGTCAGAAGGATCAGGCGCAGGACAGAGATGGGGCGCCCCTCTGAGACTGAGGCTGTCTATGGTGCTCCCACCAGCCCCAAGAGATGCTGATCACCCTCATCTTCCCCCAGCCCCTTTCTTCTGATTGTCCCGTGGGGCCAGACTTCTGTCTGAGCTGCCTAAGAGACTGCAGGGTCCGCAGCTGTCCTCCAGTGTTCCTCTGGAAGAACTGCCGCCCAGGACTCTGTATCACATTTCAATGCCATTGAGACCTAACTCAAACTCAAGTGCTCCCCCAGTCTCCTCCCCTGCACCTAGGACTTCTGAAGCCCTCTCTTCCAGGTTTGTATCACCTGACCAAACAGTTGTCCCTGGAGACAGTGACTCAGAAATCCTCCCGGGGCACAGAAAAGACATCCATGTCACAGCTTAGTCCTCCATATACCCTACTGGAAGGAGGGTATTAACATGTCCACACTGTACTGGGTCACCCTGTCCAGATGCCTATGGAAACAGGGACAGAAACGAGAGTTCTATTAAAGGTTGTTCAAACCACCGTGTGGGAGATGCTTGGGGTGAGGGGGCTGTGCCCGTGTAGCAAAAGTTATGAGAACCTCTGACTGGTAGGAAAGGCTGTGTCAGCAGACCCAAGACTCTTATTTCCCAAACTCAGTGCCATGTGGCCTCCAGGGTGCATTTGTGTATTCTGAAACCATCTAATATGAACTAGGCACTGACTGACATATTGCTTGAACTACCAAGACATGCATCACCTGTCACTTCCTCCAGAGCCTTTACCAACCACCCTTTCTGCAACCATAACCATAAGAGAAGAGGGAGAACTTTGGGTAGCCATCACCACACTGGTCACGTTGATCTGCCTATACTTCAAGGCATTTATTAATAAGAGCTATCATCTATGTAGCCCAGGCTAGGCTCAAAACTTACTATGTAGCTGAGGCTAGCCTCAAACTCAGGAGCCTCTTGCTTCAACCTGGAGAGCAAGGATTACAGTCATGTCACCACCCACCCTTCTAAGAGGTAACATCTATCTATGTTTCTTAAAGATTTTTTAAAGAAAATTTTAATATGGCTAGGTATGGTGGTGCACACTTTTAATCCCAGTACTCAGGAGGCAGAGGCAGGTGGATCTCTATGACTTTAAGGCCAGCCCAACCTGTATAGCCAGTTCCATGCCAGCTGGGGCTACAGGGAGACCCTGTATTATATATACACATAATTGTTCAAATTATGTGTGTATGTGTGTGGGATTGTGCACATGAGTGCAGGCAACTGTGGAGCCCAGAAGAGGGCATCAGATCCCCCTAGAGCTGGAATTCCAGGTGGTTGTAAACTGCCTGAAGTCCCAACTCTGGTTTTCTGCAAGAGCAGAACACACTCTTACCTGCTGAGCTGTCTCTCCAGCCCCACATCTATCCATCCCTTACTGCAAGCTGGGCTAGGTGCAAGCCTTCAGAACATAGCTCTTCTAGGGTAAGGGCTATTTCTTTTTTTTAGATAGGGTCTCCCTGTAGCCCCAGCTGGCCTGGAACTCACTGTGTAGACCAGGCTGGCCTTGAACTCACAGAGATCCACTGCCTGCCTCTGCCTCCCAAGTGCTGGGATGGGATTAAAGGTGTGCGCCACCACACCTGGTGGGCTATTTCTTTTTTACAGGTGGAGAAACACTGATTATTTCCCAGAAGCTGTACCTCCAAATGCTATTAATGTGACTTTCACAGGATTAGGTACAAAACATGTGAACCTGGATGGGGAACATTCAAACTGTAGTACCAGGTTAGAAAGAGTTGGTTGGAACTGTATCTGGGAACAAACAATCATTTAAGAACTGTGTGTATTAGAACTCATGACATGGCTCAGAACACACCACATAAAGGTGGAAGGAGAGAACTGGCACCTGTGTGCCATGACAGGTGTGCCCCCACCATCACACACACACACACACACACACACAATAATAATAATGATAAATACAAATTTTAAAAAGGGCTGGCAGCCAGGCATGGCTGTGTACACCTTTAATCCTAGCACTCAGGAGGCAGAGGCAGGTGAATATCTGTGAGATGGAGGCCAGCATAGTCTACATAACAAGTTCCAGGCCATCTGGGACTACAGGGAGACCCTGTCTTAAAAAACAAAAAAACAACAAAAAGAAAGGGGCTGGACAGATGGCTCAATGGTTAAGAGCATTTGCTCTTCTTAATGGAGGACCCAAGTTCGCACCACACCTGGTGGGCTATTTCTTTTTTACAGGTGGAGAAACACTGATTATTTCCCAGAAGCTGTACCTCCAAATGCTATTAATGTGACTTTCACAGGATTAGGTACAAAACATGTGAACCTGGATGGGGAACATTCAAACTGTAGTACCAGGTTAGAAAGAGTTGGTTGGAACTGTATCTGGGAACAAACAATCATTTAAGAACTGTGTGTATTAGAACTCATGACATGGCTCAGAACACACCACATAAAGGTGGAAGGAGAGAACTGGCACCTGTGTGCCATGACAGGTGTGCCCCCACCATCACACACACACACACACACACACACACAATAATAATAATGATAAATACAAATTTTAAAAAGGGCTGGCAGCCAGGCATGGCTGTTCACACCTTTAATCCTAGCACTCAGGAGGCAGAGGCAGGTGAATATCTGTGAGATGGAGGCCAGCATAGTCTACATAACAAGTTCCAGGCCATCTGGGACTACAGGGAGACCCTGTCTTAAAAAACAAAAAAACAACAAAAAGAAAGGGGCTGGACAGATGGCTCAATGGTTAAGAGCATTTGCTCTTCTTAATGGAGGACCCAAGTTCGGTTCCTAGTATCCACGTGGTTGCTCACAACTGTCTGTGTTGCCAGTTCTGGTGGCTTCTGTAGGCACTGTATGCAGGTGGTGCATATACATCTGGGCAGGTATTCACACACATGAAATAAAATGAATAATTTCTTTAAAAATAAATTATGTATATACCTCTTAAAGGTCCTTAAGTTTTGTTTGTGGCAACATCTCTGTCTCCCAGTGTAGCCCAGACTAGCCTCTCACTTGAGACCCTCCTACCTCAACTTTCTAAATGTTGGGATTACAGATGAACCATCATGTTCTGTTTAGGTTGTTTTAACAGTGACTATTTTCTGTTTACAAATGCAGTTCACATACACCATGGAAAAAGTCAGTCAAAATAGGAAAGAATGACATAAGAAAGGCCTCTGGCAATTGCACCCCAGTTCTCCCTGGACTCATTCCCAATGACAGCAGCTCTGGAAGAACTTTGTCAGTGAAGGGTTAGAGCAAGGGCTAATGGTTTGGATTTGTGTTTCAGAGAAGCCCAGGTACAGGGTGGAGGGTAAGATTAGAAGCCTGGGAATGGTCTCAAAGGCTCCTCCAGCTGTCCAAGAAGGGATCAGGGCTCGGGCCTGTGTGGCAGGGAGGGTTCGGGAAAAGAGATGAGGACGAGAGAGCCATTTAGGCGAGATTCTCCAGGCCTCCTCTGATTCTGCTAATGAAGGGAAAGGAAATGGAGTTCACAGTCCCACACTCAGAGAATTCCCTGGGGAGGCTGGAGATTATGGAAGAGGAGACACTCGGTGACAGTGCAGCTGATGAAACCTCAAAACACACCACAGCCCTGATAGAGCTCTGGCCGCAGAGAGGCCAGGCCACACCCCAAGAAGGAACTGGGTGTGACCCCAAGTCTAAAGTCAGACACTCCAGACGGGAGGCTGCCTCAGGCAGTGACTACAGGACAGCAATCTCTGACTCACCTCTCTGGAGACTTGTAACTGGTACTGATTTACCTTTGAGGGTGTTTGTGAGATGACTCTACCCTAGCTATAGGGAAGTGCCTATCGCTAGAAAATATAGCATGAAAGCCAGGCATGGTGGGGAACACTTAACATCTTAACACCCAGGAGGTGGAGGCAGGAAGATCACCAGTTCAAGGCTAGATTGGGCTACATAGTGGGATTCCTGCTCCCCTCAAAACAAAAGAAATACACAATGGACCACAAATGCAGGCCGTTCGGGTAGTTCAAAAATTTCTATTAGGCATTTTATTTATTTATTATTATTTATTTAATTAGTGTGTGTGTGTGTGTGTGTGTGTGTGTGTGTATCTAAGTCAGGAAAACTTGTGGGAGTTGGTTCTCTCCTTCCACTATGTGGATCACAGGAGATGGAACTCAAGTCATCAGGCTTTGGCAGCAGGTGTCTTACCCACAGAGCCATCTCACCAACATTGGTATTTTGCCATATTTTTAAAAGTAATAATAAACAAGAATTTAACTTAGATATGTAATTCATTTAACCCAGTTTATCCCAAATCTTACCATTTCAACATGTCATCAATATAAAGATATTAATGAGGTGGTTTTCACTTCTAAGTTTGCAGTAGCTACATTTCAGCAAGTGGCTAGTGGGCTGGTCTCGCAAGGTCCAGGCTGGGAGCCTTCCCTGCTGGGGGTGATCTGCTGTGTCCTAGTGCCCTGTACATAATGAGGGGCCAGTGAGAGACATGCGAGCTTGGATAATCATTCCCCGAGTGTCATGGGGCTGCTGTGAAGAGTAAATAAAAACTTGCATGCTAGGCACCCAGCTCAGTGACCCGCACTTAGTAGTAGTGCATTGTGACTGCTGCTGTTACTGTAAACCCTCAAAGGCAACTGAAGGACAGTCACTTCGTTCTAACCCGCACGGTCCCTTTGAGGTACTTCTCTCAGATTATACAATGCAAGTCTGGATTCTAGAGCTGGCAGGTGCCGTGGGGTCAGGTTCTGGGGCAACAAAAGAGCGTGTGAACCTCTTCATACTCGCCCTTGTTTTTTGCCTCTTGACAGCTCGAGGCCCCGCCCTGCCCCGCCCTGGGGGCTCAGGTCCAAACTACAACTCCCGTGATGCAATGGGAAGACAGAGCACGTCATCGGCATGAGACAGCCCGAACGGTTAGCCCGCGCGTGGAGGCGCTTTTTGAAGCGCAGAGTCTCGGGACCCCGAGGCGAAAGGAGTAGCAGGGTTGAGCTGACTGAGCTCAGAGGTCACCGGGTCATCCGGGGTGCGGCGGCGAGTGACCAGCGCGTCCTCCTCCCCTCCCGCCTCTCCCGGCGTGGCGCTCGCTAGTGACGTTGTGGGTATGATGGCCGCCGCGAGGCCGGGAAGGTGAAGGTGAGAGGGCGAGCGTACAGGGGTGGTGGAACCGGCAGTCTCCCCGCCAGGAGAGTCCTGAGCAGCCCGGCCTGGGTCGCCGGGCCGCTGGGGCCCTCGGGGCTCGGGTCACACAGACATTTTCCCGCTCCGGCTTCGCCGCCAGGCCCTCCGCGGCCCTGAGGAGGGGGCGGGCCGCTGGACCCTGGGCCTGGGAGGTGGGCTCCCCGAAGCCCCGGTCGCCCTGGCCCCTTTTCCGGCTTCCATCCAGTACTGCTCTGTTTTCTTCTGCCAGCGCTGTCTCCTGACTGATGGTGTCCCGGTTCAGCCCTCCCCGACAGATGGCATCCCGGTTCAGCCTTCCCCCGCTTAGGGGCTGATTGCAGTGGTCTTTTTTACTTGTATGACTTATGATCGCGGGTAGGGACTAAACCTGTCCGCCCTTAGTCTAGCGCCAGGCATAGAGAAGGCCGCAGAAAATGCCTAAAAAGATAAGTTTCTAGGGTGCAGAGAGGCAAAGCCACCGGGCCCCCTCTCTTCCTCCTAAGATAAAAGGACTCTTGCTTGTCCCGTTCTTGTCCCCAAAGATGAGAAGGCAGCCTCATGTTACAAAACAACAGTGAGCCTTGGAGTCACAGCCAGTATGGGCCACTTGACCCACAGTTTATAGATCTTACTAGTATTCCATTCCCCATAGACTTGAGAATGGAGGGAGACATTTCACAGCAGCCTGGACACCTTGGCTGTCAATCAGGTCCATCTTCTTCACCCTGGTCCTCAAGCCCAGGCTTTTTCCTGGTTCAGCTCCCTGCTCTCCCCTCCCGCCTCTGGCTGTGCCTTTGCAGGGACCTCACTGGTCCCCTGAATTAACACATGGCAGAGCATGTACCTGTGCTTTGTGTTTTCCCCAGCCTACTTCCTCACATGCTCCCTCAATGAGTAAGCTTCCCTCAGGGATGAGTTAGTTTGGCTTTAACGCCTGATTAGACATGTTTAGCACATCAGGTGTTTCTGTCTTCCTTGTCGCCTGTTGACCTCACCCTTTTCCTTTCCAAACGTTGGGACAGGTGAAGTCAGCACCAACCAGGACCTGAAACAGCACAGAAGAGGAGACCTCAGCTTCTTTTCATCCTTTTGACTCCAGCCAAGTCCATGATGCCCACCCTGTGAAGGTCTCTTAGCATCTAAAAAGTAAGTGAAAGCTGTGACTTTGACACCCTGGATCTGGGTTGAGAGGAAAGTGTGTTCTGCTGGCCATCAGGTGGCAAGTCTCTTGAATGAGATCCTCACATATAGATTTGTGGCTTACAACCTGTGTTGGAAAAAAATACCGTATTTCCTTTCAGCTTCTGTGGAGTTCCCTGTTTGACAGTTCAGGAAGTGGCCAGGATCCCTCTCCTGGGCTCCCTGAAGAATTGGTCTCTTTCCCCTGGTCGTTCATCTCTGTGCTGGCTCTTCTCTCTGCCTGGCACAGGTTGGCTCCTTATCATGACTCCCCTAAGAGTCTGCTCTGTATACTCTTTTTGTTTCAATTTCTCAGCTTCTTCTCTGATCCCGTTGTGCCAGCAGACGATCTGTGGATCCGTTTTATTTTCCCTGCTAGGAGTTGCTGTTCATAAAACTGGGTAAGGAAGTGGTATGATTCAGGGATCACACCTCTGAGCCAAACATCTTGCGCTGAATTTTGCTGCTGATGTGAAAATAGCTAACACTCCTTCACTAATAGCCTGGTTCAAGGCAAGGCTTCTCATCACCTTCAAGTGCTAATCCCAGTTTCCATTCAGAGTTGGGTTTGTTTCTGGTCTTAGATTACTATGCTAGTATTGTGCCCCTGGAACTTGGGGAAGGAGACGATGGCCAGGATGAGTGAGCTTTTCCCCTCCTTAGAATTTTAAAGCCTGTTACACAGACTGTTTCTTTTTTCTTCCTCCCTCCCCACCCCTTCCTCCGTCCCTCCCTCTGTCCATCTCTTTCTCCCTCCCTTTCAGGACAGGCAGGGTCACATGTAACCGAGGTTGGCCTTGAACACACTATGTAACTGGGGATGACCTTAAACTTTTTAAAAAATTTTTATTTATTTGTTTTGTGTGTGTGTGTGTCACAGTGCACATGTGGAGGTCAGAGGATAAGTTATGGAAGTGGGAACCCTTCCGCCATATGGGTTCAGAGGATTGAACTCAGATTGTTAGGGATGGCACCAAGCACCTTTACCTGCTAAGCCATCTCACAGACCCAGCCTTGAACTTTTGATTCTCCTGCCTCCACAAGTGCTGGAAATACAGGTGTGCGCCACCACGTTCAGTTCAGAAGTGTTTCCACTGAATAAGTTTGCTTGATGCTGATCAGTTGTACTGTGTCTGTGTCTGGCTTCCTTCCCAGGCCTCTGCTGTGCTTATGTACACAGGAATGGTTTTTCAGCATATACTGTTTGCAAATTGATTTTCCTATAGGACCCTTTTTGCATGACTGTTGGGCCTAACTAGAGTTCTTTGGGCCACTTCTTTGGGAAATGCTGCTGTAAATGCTGCAAAGCCCAGATCGCCAGAGCACTTTGAGGCTGTCACAAAAGTGTGGCGTGTGCCCTTTAGTGTGTAACTGATATTGGAACTGGACCCTCTGGCCCAAGTATGCTTAGGAGATAAGGCCCAGCATGCCTGCAACAAGCCCTGTGGTAAAGTGGGGTTTAACAGGGCTTTCTAGAAGAGGAACAGGAACCGAGCTGCCTCCCACCACTCTGGGAGGGTAAAGAGCCAGAAGGCAAAGCCCCAGATAGTATGGACTCTTTTTGGGCTTTTGTGCATGTATTTTGCAACTTTGTTTCTTTCATGCACATATGGATGTCCAGTTTTCTCTTTGAAGGGATTAAACTTCAGAATCTGAAAAGGCCTGTTTATCTCTTTTGATTAGCTGAGCTCCAAATACTTAGCTGAAAACTATTCTTTAGGAAAAAATGAATTTGAGCAATCAAGGACGGAGGGTTAAAGATGGTATCCCTAAGGGGTATTCACTTATACAGCCTGTATCCCTCAGAATTTCAGAGGAGGGAAGTGGAAATGGAAAGGGTGCTGCTCTGTCAAAGACTCTTTCTAGATGCTCAGAAACTAGGTAGGGACACAGTGCAGTTGAAAAACTAAAAATCTGGGGCTGGAGAGATGGCTCCAAGGTGAAGAGCACTGGCTGTTCTTGCAGAGGACCTGGGTTTGGTTCCCAGCAACCACATGGCAGTTAACAACTGTCAGTAAGTCCAGTTCCAGGGGATCTAGTGCCCTCTTCTGGCCCCCATGAGCATTGCACCACACTGGTACACTTTTGTGCAGATGTGTGTGCACTCATGCACATTAAAAACAAGAAACTAAATCTGGTAAGGTTGTGTGACCTCTGTGTGGGGTGTATCACCTGGGTTGTGTCTGGAAGGACAGCAAGAGTATGCAGAATGGATGAAGAAGAGAGGACTCCAGGCAGAGAGCAAGAGTAGATGCAGGCCGTCAGCTTGGGAGTCAGCAGAGCCAGAGCATCAGGCCGCTTGGAGCCATGCGCCCAGGTTTCACCTGTGGTAGGGTGGGCAGCTGCAGGCTGAGTAGTGTGAGATCACAGTGTGGCAACAGCTGACCACCCAGCAGACCCTTAACCTCCAGCCTCTTGACTTTCACTAGTGTGTGTGCCCGAGTCTTGCATTTACTGATCACTAATACTTCTGGCTTGTATCCTTTGAACTCGAAGACAATGACCAGTACTTTGGAAGCTTCTAAAAGCTGCTATCAGTGAACTTGGTTCCTTCGAGCAAGTCACTTGTGGGGCTGGACACTCACTCATCTCCTCCAGCTGACCTGTTTGCTCCATTTCCATGGCAGCAGGTGGGGAAGTGGAGGGTGTGTTGGTGGAGTTGCCCTCCCTGAAGGCTGGATGTTTGTGAGGGAGAGTCTTCTAATCTGGCTGTAGTTTACTGTCGTTTTAAGCCATGTCAAGCTGCCTTTGAGCTACTGCTGAGCACATTGCTTGTGCCGTCATCGTAAGTCATGCGATAGCTTATACCACATCTTATGTCGGACGGGAAGAAACCAAGGTTCTGAGGTGAAATGACTTGCTTGAATTCATGCAGGAAGCCCACAGAAGTGGCTGCACTCTGCCATCAGTGTCAGCCTCTCCCTACCACTCCTGCCTCCTCCTGGTCTCCCCTTCTCTTCTGCTTGCCCCACCCCCTAATTTCAGTGTACATTTCCTTTGTGCTCTGGAGGAACTGTAGAGTTATTTTATTCCCAGTGCCCTTTCCTAAAGCTCTGCTGCCTTTTAAGAAACAAATGTCTTAGCTGGGTGTGGTGTTGGACACCTTTAATCCCAGCACCGGAGAGGCAGAGGCAGGTGGATCTCTGAGATTGAGGCCAGCCTGGTCTACATAGTGATGTCCAGGACAACTGGGGCTACAGGGAGACCCTCTCAAAAACAACAAAAGAAAACAAACACGTCTCCTCAGGGACATGGCAGCACACGTCTGTCAGAATCCCAGCACTTGAGAGATGGAGGCCGGAGGAGGTCAAGGCCACCCTCAGCAACTTTGTCTCAAACAACCACAGCACACACTTGAAAGAAAGCATGTCTTATATATAGTGTGGAGTTACAAAGAGGAGGAAGGTGGAGACAGTAGTTTGGTCACTTCCTTCCATGCCTCCCAAGGAATCTGGAATACTTCAAAAAAACATGTGTTCCCTTGAGCAGCACAGGAGGGTCCCCATCTCTGGATCTCCTTCTGCCCGCCCAGGGAGGCATGTCTGAAAGAACCAGCTTGGCCCTCAGACTCTCGGACTTTTTCTGTCTGTTTTTTCTGTTTCTCAGGATCATGTGCTGTGACTTTTGGCAGCATCTTGGAACATCCTGAGGGTTCTCTTGTGTGCTCACTCCTGTTCAGGTGCTGGTCTCCTGGAGGGTGGATGGAGTGACAGCACACTGACCTCAGCTGGGAGGGCCTTTCCCCTCTAGTGTCCCAGGATCTGGGAGCTGAGTCGCTGTCTCCATGAGTGGATCTCTGAGCAGGACCTGCCAGAGTTCTCAGCCACGCCCAGGAGCCACTTTGTCTAGGATTTTGGAGTCAAGTGTCATAGTTTCTATGAAGCTGTGTGAGATTAAGAACAAACACACAGTGGACTGGCAACAAGCAAGATGCTAACTATAGTTGTCATAAAATATTGTAGCTTTTCCTTTTAGTTTCCAAATTTTCTAGTGTTGTAAGCTACCCTAAGGGAGACCAGCACTCTTGTTGCTGTTGCTATTGTTGTTTGAGAAAGAGTCTCATGTAGCCCAGGCTGGCCTTGAATTCACTATATAGTCAAAGCTGGCCTTGAACACCTGATCTTCCTGCCTCTGCCTCCCAAGTGCTGGGACTGCAGGCATATGCCACAGTCGGGTCAGTACTTTATGCTTGGGTCAGTACTTTTTTTTAAGTTTCAGAAGTAGATCCCTCTTGCTTAAGATCACTCCTCCTTGCCTTTACCCCCTAAGCAAGCAAACAGACCCTGTCAGAAATTAGGGCCATTGTGTTCTTAGACAGCAGAAAGACCAAGGATGGGCGTGGTGCTCACCTTGAGTGCTTCTTTCTTTGACTGTTTGGTGCTTTCTTAGGTGGATAGTGTGTAGGAGGTAAGTTGAATTTCTGTCTGAGCCTCAGAGGAGGGCTCCTGCATGTTACCTCAAGATTCCTCCACATCTCCCTGAGGCTTGAGGCAGTGTTGAACAGTCGAGAAATTACCAGTACCCAAACCCTGAATTCAGGGCTCTGCTATCAGACATTTGTGAGCCCAGAGAGTATGACAGGGAGCCTGGCCCAGGTGTTCTGAGAACTCCCTTTTTACTCAAGAAGCAGTTCTAAGCTGGCTGCCCTTGAGTGAGCCCTGGCGGGCCCCATATTCCTTATGGTCCCAGTTTCCCTCCCACCCCTGCGCCCCAGCAGAATGCCCAAAGGTGGACACTTCTGTCTCATGTGGTCTTCCCTTGCAGCGCAATGTCCCTGCTCTTCTCTCGATGCAACTCTATTGTCTCCATCAAGAAAGACAAGCGACACATGGCTGAGGTGAATGCTTCCCCACTCAAGCACTTCGTCACTGCCAAGAAGAAGATCAATGGCATCTTTGAGCAGCTGGGGGCCTACATCCAGGAGAGTGCCAGCTTCCTTGAGGGTGAGCTGGGCCCCTGCTCAGCCAGGCCCTGTCAGAAATTTGAGTTTGGGGATTTGGGGGTTCGAAAGTACAGTTCTCCTTTGGGGGAACTCATGGACAGGCAGGTCTTTGCCCTCAGCAGTGCACTGCTTGGATCCCCGTGGACTTGAGTTCCAGGAAGATTAGGCAAACCATGAGTCAGGAATTAACTTGGGAATTCCTCATTTTGTTGGCGCAGGGGGTAGGTGATTCTTACCCCTGTCAAAATGGCAAGCAGGGAGGGAGATGTGGCTCAGTTGGCAGCATGCTTGCCAGCCATGAACAAACCAATAGGTTCCATCCCCAGCACCAGATAAAGCCAGGTGTGGTGGTCACACCTACAATCCCAGCACTTGGGAAGTGGAAGCAGGAGGAACAGGAGTTTAAGGTCTGAGCTTCATAATGAGTTTGAGGCTACATGAGACCCTATCTCCAAAACACACACACACACACACACGACAAGTAGAGTAAGATTTGAGAGTTTTCTGAAACCTTGGGCGTGACTGGGCTAGCTTACTGAGGTGTCTCTAATGCCACAACCTATGTGTCTTATTTGGCCCAGTTCTGGCTGCCATAGCACCAGTTAGGTGTTGATTATTCCAGACCTGGTGCCCTATCGGGTATTTTTAGATGGCAATAGGAATACAAGTAGGAGATCCACACCACTGTGCCTTTTTTCCTAGTTACTAATTTGAGCCTAGCCTCTGTCAGCTGAGGAAGATTGCTTCCCAGTGCCCCACTCCGCCTGGAGCTCCAGCCACCTGCTGTCTCAGGCTCCCTCGGGTTCCCTTGTCTGTGAAGACCCACGTTCTGGGTCTTCTCTGTCCTTGGTTTCCTCATGTGTGAAAGAGGGGCTCAGGTGAGACCAGGGGCATTCCAATTTGTGTGTAGAACCTGGCAGGTCGAGTGGGGATGCCCCACGGCTTGACCCCTGGCTCAGGTGAACCACTTTTTGTCTAGCCTGCTTTCAAGTAGAGACACTTGGTTTCTCATCATCTCACATGGCCAGGCTAGTATTTAAGGCGCCATTGAAGAAAGAGACCATGTCCAGTCTTGTTAACTTACCTGTGTCCTGCCCTGTGCATGGGGCTTGAGGTAAGAGAAGGTGTCCCCTAAGTATTCGCATATTAGTATATGATTGGAGGTTGGAATGGTGCAGTTCGCTGCCTGTTTATTTCTGTTCTGCCATCCCTATGCTGGACCTAGTATGTAGGGAAGGCTAACCAGGCTGAGCCTTCACAGAGCCCAACCAACCTCTGTGATGCCTTGAGTTACTCAGATGATGATACTGTGGACTGATACGTGTTTTAGGAAGGTGTCATTCATGGTGCTTTTGTGTGTCTTTTTGTAAAAATATGAGGTCCGGCCACGCGTGGTAGTGTATGCCTTCAATCCCGGCACTTGGGAGGCAGAGGCAGGCAGATCTCTGTGAGTTCGAGTCCAGCCTGGTCTACATAGTGAGTTCCAGGCCATTTGGGGCTACAGGGAGACCCTGTCTCAAAAAGACCAAAAAAAAAATGAGGCCCTTGCTTATTGAGCACATGGAAAGGAAAGAGGCCAAGTGATTGGAGCTGTGTTGGGATTGCTCTGGGCAGGGGAGAGGATGCTTCCCACCCAGGCATACGATGAGAGCTAGTCAGCTTGTTGTCCAGTGTAGCCACATGCTTGAGAGTCAGCTTCCTACTAGGGGCATTGCAAAGGCTGTGCCAATGTGCCCATATAAGGGAGGAATGTTGATGGGTCTGTGTGGGGGTGACTGGTGGATGTGGGGGGGCACGTTGGTTTGGTCACTTCCTTTCATGGCACTAACTAGAGGAAAACTCACTGGCTAGTGTCTGACATGCCACTTGTCATACTCTGGATGCTTTGGGGATGTTCTCAGGGCTGGGACTTGCCAGCTTGGTTGCTATAAGAGTGTGCTGCCAACCCAAACCCCCGTCTGCTTCACAGGTTGCAAGAGCACCCAGGTGGAAGGGCGAGGCAGGATGGGGGCAAGATCTCACTCAGCTGATGTCTTCTATAGCAAATTGTTAGCCATCTGCTGTCAGGCATGGAGGAAAAGCTATACTGTGCTCACATTGATTCAAGTGCTAGTCAGTGCTGGTACAGGGCTGGTTCTGCCTTATGAGTTGATAATACAGACAGGTGAGCTAGCCATTTGCATCAGGGACAAGTACAGTGTGCTGCACACGCAGGTGGAGGTGTGGCTGGGGAAGGTTTCAAGGCGCTTGCCAACCACGTGAGACCCAAGGCCAAATGGGAGTGAGCCCCAGCACTCTACAGCAATGTGTCTGTTCTTCAGAGCTTTGGTAACATCGGGGTGGGCAGCACCAAGCAAAGCCAGAGTGAGGAGGCTGGTGAGTTTGGCCAGATGCTGTGGTAGAGAGAGAGGTAGGGACTCAAAAGAGACTAGGCCAGAGAGGGCAGCTAGGCCAGAGCCAGATCAGGAAGTACCTCTTGAAGTGACATGGATTAGGTAAGGCCTGGCTCCAGACCCAGGCTGCCTGGTTCACATTGTGTGTAGAGTATATAGTGAAGGTGAGGTGAGGCCATTAAGAAACCAGAATGGCACCCAGCAGGGAGCTTGGTAAGCATCTGTTAAAAATACACAAGTTGCCTGGCGTGGTGGTGCACACCTTAATCCCAGAACTCAGGAGGCAGACGCAGGTGGATCTCTGTGGGTTTAAGGCCAGCTGGGGCTACAGGGAGACCCTGATTCAATAAAACTAAACAAAATACAGGAGTAAAGAGACAGCATTTAGGTCCTTGCACCAGCTATGGTGCTTAGCACCTTGAATTTATTTAAAGAATTCATCTTTATAAGCCTTGGGAAGCAGATACTCTTGCTGGGGCTACAAGGAGACCCTGTCTCAAAAAAGACAAAAAAATTATATTTTATGTGTGAGTGTTTCACCTACATGTATGTGAGTGTACCAGTGTCATACAGTGCCCACAGAGGCCAGAAGAGGGATGGTTATTAGCTGCCATGTGGGTCCCCTGCAAACCCACGTCCTCTGTAAGAGCAGCCAGTGCTCTTAACTGCTGAGTCATCTCTCCAGCTCCAATACTGCTGTTCTTAAGAGATAAGAACCAGCAGGAAGAAACCCAGGCCGTCCTGCTCCCCATCCCTGATCTTAGCTACCACACCATGGGGCCGTAGAAGGGAGTTTGGAACTTCGGGTTTGGTGGTAGAGCAGGGAGTCATGGAGGTGGTCTCGTGGCTTGGAGAGTGAGACATTGGGGTGAATGAGGCTGGCACTCTGGCCCTGGCAGGCAGTCTTGTGGTTTGGGGAGCCAGGCATCAGGGCAAGTGAGGCTGGCACTCTGACCCTGGCAGACTTGTGATTGAGGAAGTCTTCTGCCCACTGACTGACCCATTTCGTTCCATCTCCCAGACACCTACAGGAATGCAGAGCTGGACCCGGTGACAACTGAAGAGCAGGTTCTGGATGTCAAAGGCTACCTGTCCAAGGTCAGGGGCATCAGCGAGGTGCTGGCCCGGCGGCACATGAAGGTGGCTTTTTTTGGCCGGTGAGTCCTGGGAGCATTCACTGCTTCTGTCTTTCTGGGTGGGATCAGGGAGGGAGGCCCTGTGTGGGTCACAGCCCGTGTGTCCCACAGTGGGAGTAGAAGTGTGCAAGTCCATCATGCTCTTCGTTATGTTTTTAAACGGATCACTACTGCTATTTTTAGTTTTTTATTGCATTTTTAATTATTCTGTATGGTGTGTATGTATGTATGTATCTCTGTGTGTAGGTCAGAACAACTTGCAGGAGTCAGTTCTTGACTTTTATCATGTGAGTCCTAGGGACTCAAACTCAGGTCGTCAAGCTTGGTGGCAAGTGCCTTTAGCTACAGAGTCATCTTGGGGCATTTTATTTTATTTATTTATTTATTTTGGTCTCTATAGCTCCAGCTGGCCTGGAACTTGCTATGTAGAGCAGGCTGGCCTTGAACTCGCAGAGATCTATCTGCCTGTGCCTCCCACCACAACACCCGGCTCTGCAGCATTTATTTTTAAATTGTAAAGCATACTTAAAACGAGTCTTTTGGGGAGAGGTACCTAAGATTGAAACCAGCGTCCACACATCCCTTGAGCGCTCTGTCTCTATTGAGCTGCACCCCGGTCCTCCAGATGACATTAGGAAGTGTGGGGCAGTGGTGCGGTATTCACCTTGCTATGCAGCTGGTCTTACAACTTTTCCTCTCATGAAACTGAGATGGTTCATGGTAACAGCTTCCTACTTCCCTACCCTGACCCTTGGCAAACATTATTCTTTTTTAGAGGAAGGGTCTCACTCCGTAACCCAGGCTGTCTTTAATTCTCTCTCTTTTTTTTTTTTTTGGTCTTTTTGAGACAGGGTCTCCCGGTAGCCCCCAGCTGTCTTGGAACTCACTATGTAGACCAGGCTGGCCTTGAACTCACAGAGATCCGCCTGCCTCTGCCTCCCGAGTGCTGGAATTAAAGGCGTGCACCACCACGCCCAGCATATATTGGGTTTTAGTTGTTTGTTTTTATTTTTTTGAGACAGGGTCTCTCTGTAGCCCCAGCTGGCCTGGAACTTACAATGTAGACCAGGCTGGCCTTAATCTCACAGAGATCTGCCTGCCTCTGCTTCCGAGTGCTGGGATTATAGTTGCATTAGTACGCCTGGCCATGCATTATTTTTCATTTAGTGACTGGCTTTTCTTAGCATAGTACCCTCACAGCTGATAAGTGTAGGCACATTCATCAGAACTTCCTTTTGTGTGTATGGTGTGCATTCATGTATGTATGTGTATTTGTTGCGATGGAGGCTAAAGGTTGACATTGGTTATCTTATTTAAATACTCTCTATTTATTGAGGCAAGGACTTGATGGAGCCAGAGCGCGCCACTTCAGCCTGTCTAGGTAGCCTTGGTTTCCCCAGGGATGCCCTGTCTCTGCCTCCTGAGATCTGGATTACACATGGCTGCCATGACTGTCTGCCTCTTACCAGGGTTCTGGGGATCTGAGCTGCAGTCCTCATGTGTGTGTGGCAAGCACTTTATCCACTGAGCCATCCCTCCAGTCCCCTTCCTTCTTTTTTAGGTTGAATACTACTCCATCGTATGTCTGTACCACACTTTGTTTATTTGCTCATCTCCGTAACATTTGAGTCACGTCCATCTTTTGACTACAGTGAATAATGTCACTGTGTACATGGGCGTATAGATGTTCTTTCTGGTCCCTTTTGTACACAGAAGTGGGATTGTTGGAGAATACCCTAATTCTGTTGTGGCCTGCCACACGGCCCTGCTCTGCTGTTTTCTGCAGCAGCTGCACCATCGTATGCTCCAGCAGCAGTGCCTAGGGGCTCCGTTTCCCCACATCCTTGTTGTGTCTTGTTAGTGGCCATGTTACTGGGTGGGAAGTAACAGCCCACTGTGGGATGGTTGGTTCTTTGCTTATTTTTGTTTTTGTTTTTTGAGATGAACCTTACTCTGCTGCCCATACTGGTCTTCAGCTCCTGGACTCTGGCAATCCTGCCACCCCAGCCTCAGTGCTGGGGCCACCATGTTGAGCCCCCGTTGTGGCTTTGGTGCCCAGTTCTTTATTTGACATAGTCTGATCATCTGTGTGTACTTTTTTGCCTGTCCATTTGGTGTCATTTGCCATTCCAGTGTTGTGAAGCTCTCCCTCTCCCTTTACCTCTAAGAGTTTTATAGTTTGAGCTGATTCTCATTATACTGTGGGGTTTAGTAGTCATTAAAAAAAAATGAAAACCCAAGCCTTTTCATTAAAAAGAATTAAAGTCCTCAGTTGGTAGAGTGCTTGCTTAGCATGCATGAAGCCCTAGGTTTGATCCCCAGCCCTGCATAAAACGAGGTGTTGGTGGCACACACACCTGTAATCTAGCACTCTGGAGGTGCAGGCAGGTAGATAAGGAGTTCAAGGTCATCCTACATAGCATGTTTGAGGCCAACTTGTCTTAAAGAAAATTAAGATCCTATACAGGCGATGAGGTTTCCAGACAAGCTGGGTGCTTGGCACACAGTGGTAGCCTCATATGAGCACTGTGCCTGGAGTCTTGTCCTTGACAACTTGTCACTCGGGCCTCAGGTGTGCCCTCAGCAACTCTGGCCTGCCACTGTTTCATCCTTCCCTGGAAGGTGTGGCCTGGCCCTCACCTGGGTGCTGGTGCCTGCCTGTCCCATTGGATGTAGGGAAGGCCTGTAGCTCTGAGGCAGTGTGTTGCTGGGGTCTGCCATGCAGAAGAGTGAGTGCTTAGCACTGAAACGTGGAGTAGCTGCTGGAAGAATGTGGAAAGGCCTGGCACTGCTGGGCCCGAGAGGTGGGGCTTCTCATGCGAAGAGGAGAATGATGGGAAAAGAGCAGCACGGCAGGCCCAATGTGGGAAACAAGGACATGAGTCATTTCATTGAGGTCATTTGGACAGGAAGAGAGCCATGGGGAGAAGGCCTATGCTTCCAGAAGGTTATACTCTGGGGAAGGCAGTCTCCGTTGATGCCTTCTGAGAGGTGCTGGACCATTCGAGAACAGGTCACACATCTATACCGGGCCCCACAATGCTCCAGCTGCTTGCAGATTGGTCTGAAGTATGAGCCAAGGCACATAACAGGTTCAGGCTGATGGACATTTGCCTTACCAGTGCTGCCTGGGAGCTATCGACATTGCAGAGAGCAAGACTCTACCCCCTAGGCTGGTCACTGCACTGTGAAACCCAGACTAGCCGCTGACTTTGCTGACACAGTTATTTTCTCCTAGGACGAGCAATGGGAAGAGCACTGTCATCAATGCCATGCTCTGGGACAAAGTTCTGCCCTCTGGGATTGGCCACACCACTAATTGCTTCCTGCGGGTGGAGGGCACAGATGGCCATGAGGCCTTCCTCCTCACTGAGGGCTCGGAGGAAAAGAGGAGTGTCAAGGTGGGTACCAGCCAGCCAGCTCTCTACCTTGTGTGCAGGTGGGTGGAGTCTGGGCTTGGACCAGCCAGCACATATATGTCGCATGTCCATGACCTGACCTCCATGTCCACATGCTCATGAACTTTGTGGAAAATGTAAGAGTGTTCAGGAGGTCAGAAAACCGGAGCACCAAGAACAGGGCCCGACTTGCTAAGGGTGAGCAGGTTGACTGACAGAGCGCTGAGTAGGAGGGGAGCACACACTGCACTTGCTGGGGATATCGCCAGGGATGTGCTCTGGGTTCTCACATACCAGTCAGCAGCTGGTGCGCTCTCATTTTTCTCAGAGGCAGCTCTGGAGCCAGGTGTGCATTTTGATTCATAAAGAATTAATCGTTGCAGAACAGATTGGGTTTCAGGATGATATTGAAGAAAGAGGCTTGAACTGAGCATGGGCTAGCATACCTTTAATCACAACACTCGGGAAGCAGATGCAGGCTGGCCTTTATGAGACTGAGGCTACCCTGGTCTACATAGCAAGTTCCAGGCCAGCTAGGGCTACAGGAGACCCTGTCTCAAAAAGAGAGAAGTGGCGGGGAGGCTTAAAGGGGAAGTATACAAAGCTAGTTCTTACTGGTAGTATGTGCAGTGAAAGAAAAGGGGTGTTTAGAGGTAGTTTAATAGTTAAGAGTGCTTTCTGCCCTTTCAGGGGACCCAAGTTTAGTTTCTAGTGCCCATGGTGGGCAACTCTCTACTGCCTGTAATTCCAGTCCCAGAAATACTACGCCCTCTTCTGGCCTCTCTGGCTGTGTGTGCACACTCACACTTGAAAATGCACAAGCATAAATAAGTCTTTTCTAAGAATAGGGTAGCTGCTGAGTCAGCCTTCGTAGGCTACCGTGACAGGTGGTACATCTCTCAGCTGGTGACTTGGCCTGATCTTTCTTTTCTTCCTCTGCCATCAGACTGTGAACCAGCTGGCCCATGCCCTCCATCAGGATGAACAGCTACATGCCGGCAGCTTAGTGAGTGTGATGTGGCCTAACTCCAAGTGCCCACTTCTGAAGGATGACCTCGTGCTGATGGACAGGTGAGAGGGCGGAGGTTCTCCTGGGCAGTCCAACCTGAGGGCATCCAGGTGATCCAGACCTAAGTCCCCTTCATCCTGTGTTTGCTCTGTTTAAATGTTGGCCCCTTTCAGAGAGCTCAACCAAATCCTCCTGCCTCTTGGATTGCCTCCAGGGTCTGATTATCATGCCCATTGGCATCAGTGCCCTGCAGATATCCTAGCAGTGCGCTGTTTGAGAGATAGGAGAGGTGCTGAGAGGTGGGGGAGGGCCTGCACCCCACCTAGTATATCTAAGTTCTGCCAGTCCAGCTGAGTGTGTTAGAGGTGGGAGGGACTGTCTGGGCTGCCCACTAGTTTTTTAAAACAAGGTCCTGGGAGTCTTGACTTGTTATGGTGTGGAACTAGATTTAGGTTCCTTGCCCCCTCAGTTCTTTTCCTTCTAAGACACCAAAATGCAGCACTATGGAGACTAACCTGAAGCAGTTTGGGGCCTGTTTAAGTGTTCTCTTTACTTGTGCCTGAAATGCCCCTAGCAGGCTATGCCTGAACAACCCTCAGGACACTGGCTCTGGGAAGGGTTGTTGGGACTGATGCACATGTTGGCTAGCTTTTGTGGTTGCTGGGGTATTTTATTCCTGTTTTGTGGACATGTGACACCCACAAGAAGTGTGGTACTGTAGCCTTTCCCTGGACTCATAAAATCAGAACTTGAAAGCTGGCTGTGGTATTGCACACTTGTAAATCTATAACTTGGTAGCTGGAGGCAAGTGAATCAGGAGTTCAGATTCATCCTCAGAGGGCTGGAGAGATGGCTCAGCTTGTTGCTCTTTGTAGAGGACCCAGATTCGGTTCCCAGTACCCACATGGCAGCAAACAACTGTCTGTAACCCTAGTTCCGGGGGATCCAACACCCTCTTCCAAGTTCCTTGGGCAGAAGGAACAGATGCACTTACATACATTTAGGCAAAACACTTGTACACATTTTAAAAAATTTAAAAACAAAGACAAATTCATTCTTAGCTACATAGTGAGTTTAAGGTCGGCCTTGGCAACAGGACGCCATTTCAACTTAAAAAAACAGAAGAAGGAGAAGAAGAAATAAAAAAAAAAACCCTGACTTTGATTGTCTATCTTTAAAGTAAAATACAAGACATTATGTTTTCATAAAAGTGACACAGTTGCTAAAAAAATAAACCCTAAAACTAGAAGTCCTTACCTTTCCCAGTGATGGAAGGATAAGAGGTGGACATTAAGGGTCTCTGGGAGGGAAGGCCTGGTTCTCTCCCACCCTACTGTCCCCTCCTTTGCCTGGCTGCTTGGCAAGTCCCAGGGCTGCTCACAAACTGGGGCCCATGCTTGTGCCTGACCATATTGATGTACCCCTGTCACCACCAGCCCTGGGATTGATGTCACCACAGAGCTGGACAGCTGGATTGACAAGTTTTGCCTGGATGCTGACGTGTTTGTGCTGGTGGCTAACTCGGAGTCTACACTGATGCAGACGGTACCTCCTCCTCCACCTTGTCCTTGGATCGGCTGGGCAGGTAACTGGTAGGGCCTTGGGTGGCATGACCCTTCCTCCACCAAGATTCTGCCCCATCTAGGAGAAGCAGTTCTTCCACAAAGTGAGTGAGCGTCTCTCCCGGCCTAACATCTTCATCCTGAACAACCGCTGGGATGCGTCTGCCTCAGAGCCTGAGTACATGGAGGAGGTGGGTGTATGTTTGGCAGTCTGGAGCCTGCACCCTGGTATGAACACCGGCTGTGCTCTCTTCTTCCTGGCAGCTTCCCTGAGTTAAGGTCATTGCCAGAGATTGCCCATGAATGAGTTCCTTGACAGTTTTAATCATCCCCTTCTACCTCCTCTTCTCTTTCCTTTCCTTGATTTCTCCCAGGGTAAACCACATCCCCACCAGATTCCTGCACCTTTGTTTTGTCTGGTTTTCTTTCTGTTTGTTAAAGCGTTTTTGTTGGGGGCCAGTAATAAATTTGTTTCACAAAAAATCAATGCATACATAATAGGCTTTAGGAAGAGATTCAGGAAAGAAGCTTAGAGAGGGGAGAATGGTGGTTCTTAGCACAGCTCCCAACTCTTCAACTCGTGTGAGATAAAAAAGAAGGAGCAGTAGATGACATTGGACTTGTCCAAATGCTGGCTGCTTTGGCCAGTTCCTTAGCCTGTCTGGCAATCCTCTCCTCACCTGAGGGATGCCTCTAATAAATAGATTTGTCAGAGGATGCAATCTGCTCCAAGCACCTGACATGTGACAGGAGGGTCTTAACCTTTTTAGGTTCTACCAGTGCAGCCTAGTATGTTGGAGCTGGGAGGGACCGTCCAGGGTGCTGACTCGGTTTCTAAAACAAGGCACTGGGAGACTTGTCAGTGTAACACTGGGTTTAGGTTCCTTTACCCCCCTCCCCCGCCCCAGTTCCTTTCCTTCTGGGACACCAAAGTACAGGACTGTAAACTGAGGCAGTTTGGGACCTGCTTTGGGTCTTGCTTATGTATCCTTATGTGCCCTGGCAGTGTGTCTCAGGAGCCCAGAGGGCGTTGGCTCTGGGGAAGCTGTAGCTCAAGAGCACAGACAACCTTTCACTGTATGTTTATTCCTTTTGAATGTTGAGCCATGTGGACATGCATGCCTGTCTGTCTGGGCCCAGGTGCGGAGGCAGCACATGGAGCGCTGCACTGGCTTTCTGGTGGATGAGCTGGGTGTGGTGGATCGAGCCCAGGCTGGGGACCGCATCTTCTTTGTGTCTGCCAAGGAGGTACTCAATGCCAGGATCCAGAAAGCCCAGGGCATGCCGGAAGGAGGTAACCATGGGAGCAGGTACCCTCCTTTTTCTGGGTATTGGAGTGAGATGTTGGGTCTCTTGCTGAGTGAGTTGGAAGGAGTGGTTCTGGGGATAGGATGATGAGCAGAGCCTGGAGGGAGAGGCCCTTGTGTCCTGCCTGTGTCAGCAGTGGGAGTGGCTTGGGATGAGGACTACTCTTCATTGCCAGGCTGACTAGATTTAGTATCACCTAGGAGACATTTCCAGGCATGTCTATGAGGGCTTTTTCAGAGAGGCTTACCTGCGAAGGAGCTGCCCACCTTGAATGTGGGTGGTGTCATCCCATGGGCTGGGGTCGCAGAATGCACAAAAAGGGGGAGGAGAAAGCCAGCCCAGCACAGGTGTTCTCTTTCTCTATTCCTTGTCCGGTGAGATGTGAGCAAGCAGCCTTACCTTCCCTGCCGTGAGGTGCTGCTCTCTGCACCGTGAACCCTCCCATAAGTTGCTTCTTGTATTTTTGGTTGCAGGGTGAGAAAAGTCACTGGTGGAGGGGCTGCCCCCATTCTGCTCTCGTGCAGAGCTGGGCCCTCACTAACAGTGTTGTTCTCTTAGGGGGTGCTCTTGCAGAAGGCTTTCAAGTGAGGATGTTTGAATTTCAGAATTTCGAGAGGAGATTTGAGGTAAGTCTTTGATTCTGGTATGTGACTATTCTGTCTCCCAAAGCTCTCTCTAGCCCTGTCCCTAGCCATGAAAGGCACAGCCTAGTCCTTGGAATTGGTGGCCCCCACCTCCCTCCGAACCTCTGTCTGTTCCAGGAGTGCATCTCCCAGTCTGCAGTAAAAACCAAATTTGAGCAGCACACAGTCCGGGCCAAGCAGATCGCAGAGGCCGTTCGCCTTATCATGGACTCCCTGCACATCGCAGCTCAGGAGCAGCGGTGAGAGCAAAACGGAGGCAGAGGGGTACTGGGAAATGATGGTTCTGAGTACTCTGGCCTGGGCAGCTAGGGCATGCCTATGGTCAGAATGTTAATGGCAGGCTGAGTCCATGTACTGGGACCCATATTAGAGCCACATAGGCAGCCTGGTAGGGAGCTGCTAGGTGTCTGATCACCCACACGGCCTGAGCAGTGAGGTTCTATGCCAGAGGCCTTGGCCCTCCCCTTGCCAGGTACTGTGGCCATTCTCAGAGCCTCAACACATTGTTTTGAAGGAGGGAAGGGTGGTTGTTTTTTTGTTTTCAGTTGTGTAGGGCTTCAAAACTAAGGTCTCATGCATGCTAGGCAAGCACTGTACTACTGAGCTACAAACCCTAGCCCACTGGTTTTCTTTTTTTTTAATTTATTGTTTTTATTTTATGTGTATGAATGTATTGCCTGCATTGTATATAAGAGCACCCATATTGTGTTAATGCCTGTGGCCATCAGAAGAGGGCATTGGAGTCCCTGGAACTGGAGTTAAGGATGGTTATTAGCCACCATGTGGGTGCTGGGACTCGAGCTCGGGTCCTCTGCAAGAGAAGTGCTCTTAACAGCTGAGCCTTCTCTCCAGCCCTCTGGTTTTTTTTTGTGTGTGTGTGTGGTCTTTTTGAGACAGGGTCTCCCTGTAGCCCCAGCTCTCCTGGAACTCACTATGTGGACCAGGCTGGCCTTGAGCTCACAGAGATCCACCTGCTTCTGCCTCCCGAGTACTGGGATTAAAGGCGTGCACCACTATTCCCGGCTTGTTTTTGATTTTTAAAAACGATAGTTGCTGTGTAGTCCATGTTAGCCTTGAACTCAAGATCTTCCTGCTCAGATCCTCTTCTGTCACCCTAGCCTGAACCTATTTTTAAACAGGCATAGTGGTGCTAGAGATGTAGCTCCAGTTGATGAGTGCTTACTTAGCATGCATGAACTCCAGAGTTAAGTCCCTAGCACACCACACACTGGATATGGTAGAGCATGCCTGTAATCCCAGCACTCTGGAGGTAGAGGCAAGAGGATCAGAAGTTCAAGATCATCCTTGGCTATTTACTGAGCTTGAGGCCAAACTGAGATACATGAGCCCCTATCTCAAAAAAAAAAAAAAAATTTTTTTTTGAGAAATTTAAAATATAGACAAACACAGAGAATCATATACAGACAGCTTGCCACAGAGAATTGACAGTGATTGCCTCAAGTTAAAACAGAACAAACAAGGAGTTAATCATCCTTTGATTCTTTGATCTCACCACTCATCAGAGGTGATGGTAAATTCGTGGCCCCATTACCTCCCAAGTTTTTTAATTTTTTTTTTTTTTTTGGTCTTTTTGAGACAGGATCTTCCTGTAGTCCCAGCTGGCCTGGAACTCACTATGTAGAGCAGGCTAGTCTTGAACTCAAAGAGATCTGCCTGCCTCTCCCTCCTGAGTGCTGGGACTAAAGGTGTGCGCCAACACGCCTGGCTAAATTAATTTTTTTATGTGTATAAGTGTTTTGCCTGCATGGATGTGAGTGTATCCATTCATGCAATGCCCATGGAGATCAGAAGAGGGTGTTGGATTGCTTAGAACTGAAGTTACTGACAGGTGTTAGCCTCCATGTGGGTGCTGGGAACCAAACCTAGGTCCTCTGGAAGCACAGGCAGTGCTCTTAACTGCTGAACCATCTCTCTAAAATCATTACCCAAAATGTAAAAGGTGCTTCCTACTTAAAGCACCAGGAGACTGTAGGCTGTTGGGCTTGTGTTGCGAGTGTCAGACACGGTACGTCCACATGTGCCTGCACCTTGCTGTTCTCTCCACTCTGCGTGGTTTCCTCCTTTATCCTTTTTGGGACACATTTGAATTCATGAATAGTAACTTAGCAAATCCCATTGTGAGAGGACCTCATTTTCCTGTTGATTATTTGTTTATTTTTGAGACATGGTTTCACTATATAGCCCTTGGCTGGCCTGGAACTCTGTAGGCAGACTGGCCTTACAGATATCTACCTGCTTCTGCCTCCTGAGTGCTGGGATTAAAGGCTACATCACCATGCCCGGGTCTGTTGATTGGTTTTTAGCTTGCTTTCCTTATGCCATTGCAAACTTGCCACAGTGGGCATCTGCTTGGGCATGTTGTGAGTCTAGGACTCACACACCCCTAACTCTGCCACAGGGTGGGCACGTTTTCACTTTTACTCAGCTTTTCTTTGTTGCTCTCCAGAGCAGTCCCTGCCCCCAGCACTGACTGGAGGAGCCCCCACTTCCACAGCTCCCACCTCACCTCGAGACATGGCCACTTGTCCCAGACTTCTAGGTAGAACGTGTAATCTCCTTTAAGTTTCATTTCCTAGTTGCTGGTGAGGTTGAACATTCTTGTTTGTTATTATTGTATAGATATTACATATGTGTGGGCACACACATGCCAGTGTTTGAGGACAACTTTGTTGAATTGGATTTCCTTCCACCTTTACAAGGGCTCTAGGGATCAAACTGAGGTTGTCAGGCTTGTGCAGCAAGTATGTGGACCCGACGAGCCATCTTGCTGGCCTGTCAAGCATTTTCCCCTGTATTAGTTGGCAGAACTCTCTCTAACCCTCCTTTAGCCTCCTCTCCTCTTTGTCACCAGTTTTCTCTCCTAATGGGAGACCAGGAGCGAATGGCTGTCTCCTTTCTGTGTGTGACACCCTGTCCAGGCAGGATGGCAGTGGTCTGGGTGAGCTCCCCAGTATTCCCTGGGGCTCCTCTGCCTGGTCTCTGACAGTGCTTTCCGCTCACAGGGTTTACTGCCTGGAAGTGCGGGAAGAACGGCAAGATCGACTGAGATTTATTGACAAACAGCTGGAGCTCCTGGCCCAAGACTATAAACTACGAATTAAACAGATTACGGAAGAAGTGGAAAGGCAGGTGAGAGTAAGGAGAAGTGCTTGGGGAGATTGGGCTCAGAGTCAAGTTTAGAGTGTGCTGCAGAAGTGGTAAGTCAGACACCCTGGTGTTAGGGGCTAACAGCTTTTTGAGAGGAAGTTGTGGTCCCCGATTCAAGAATACAGAGCTTCCCCTGGGTTCCATCCTCCTGTTGTGTGGCCCTGGGCAAGTGCTCCTCTCCCAGGCCTCCTTTGTGGGCCAGCTGGACATTTGATGGGCTGTTTTATCAGGTCTTACCCCTCAGAGGCTTCAGTCACACAGGAGCTGGAGAGACCAGGCGTGGGGACAGGCAGGCAGCTCACCAGAGTCTCTCCTGCTGCAGAGTGAGGCACACACTTCTTGCTGCCAACAGTGTGCTTCCCTTGGCTGCAGGTATCCACAGCCATGGCTGAGGAGATCAGGCGCCTCTCTGCACTGGTGGACGAGTACCAGATGGACTTCCACCCATCCCCAGTCGTCCTCAAGGTTTATAAGAATGTGAGTGAAGCAGTGAGTGCTCTTCGCAAGGGCCTCTGGGTGGAGTCACCGTGGAGACAACACCTCTGCCTTAGCTGGTGTGTCTTGGCTCCTGAGTGGAAGTGACAGCTGGGGACAAAAGGCCCAGGCTTCCTCAGCCTTCTTTGGTCACCTGGCAGGCCTGACTGAGCAGCCTGGGACTCCCAATATGGGGCCTCTTCTCGTAACCTCTCCTTTCTGGTGGCAGGAACTGCACCGCCACATAGAGGAAGGCTTAGGCCGGAACATGTCTGACCGCTGCTCCACAGCCATCACCAGCTCCCTGCAGACCATGCAGCAGGACATGATAGGTTAGTGTCACAGGGGAACTCGGGACCTGGGCTGTGGGATTGCCAACTCCAAGTCAAGGCTAATCCAAAAATAAGAGGAGGGACTGGAGAGATGCTTAGTGGTTAAGAGTGTGTACTGCTCTTGCAGAGGATCCGAGTTTGGTTCTCAGCACCCACACTAGGCTGCTGGCTTCCATTGGGCTGCCGGCAACCGGCTGCAACTCCAGCTCCAGGGTATCCAATGCCTCTGGCCTCCATGGGCACCTGAACTCAGGAGCACATACCCACACCCCCCCCACACACTTTAATAAGATAAATCTTTAAAATATGATGACCTTTCTTATCTGTCACCTTCGGTGATGATTTAACTTGACACCTTCAAGTTCTGGATGTGTGTCTTGACGTCATTCTGTATGACTTGGGGGAACCCATTCTGAGTTACCGTGTGGGTCACTGTCACAGGTTGAGAAGTGGTCTGCCCCTGCAATCCACATGGGACGTGACTGCTGGCAAGTTTTATATACTCTTGGTTGGGAAGTGGCCTGCCTGCCAGAGGCAGTCCCACTGGCTGACCCACCCTGGTGTGGTTTCTCTGCAGAGCTGATCCGCATCTTTGGCAATAGTTGGCATGGCCACTGTTCTGAGGTGTGGTACAGGTGTGGTACAGGCCTGAGCTGATGCACATTCTCCCTGTTTGTACCCTTGACAGATGGCTTGAAGCCCCTCCTTCCTGTGTCTGTGCGGAATCAGATAGACATGCTGGTCCCTCGCCAGTGCTTCTCCCTCAGCTATGACCTGAACTGTGACAAGCTGTGTGCCGACTTTCAGGAGGACATAGAGTTCCACTTTTCTCTTGGATGGACTATGCTCGTCAACAGGTTCCTGGGCCCCAAGAACAGCCGCCGGGCCTTGATGGGCTACAACGACCAGGCAAGCGAAGCTCTCTTTCATCATGGGAGGTCAGTCTGTACACTGTAACCAGATACACAAGCCAGGCTGTGACAGGGATTCCCCAAGGCAGACAGCTAAGCTGTACCGTATGTGCTCCAGGTTGGTTCATCGTACCATGGTCAGCACTGTCATCCTCAGCTTGGTCTTGTTCTAATGACAATATTGAGTTTTCTAGTACCTGTTAAAGGTATGTAATCATTAAAAACAGATGACGTGGGGGTTGGGTGTAGCTCAGTGGTAGAATATTTGCCTGGTATGCAGGAGGCTTTGAATTTTATCCCTAACATCATGAAAAGATTTTAGACAAGAATTTAAAAATATTCATCTCTATACTACCACTTTAAAATTTAGAATAAAAAATGCTTTAGTCCAGGCGTGGTGGCTCACGCCTTTAATCCCAGCACTTGGGAGGCTGAGGCAGGCGGATCTCTGTGAGTTCAAGGCCAGCCTGGTGCTACATAGTGAGTTCCAGGACAGCTAGGGCTACAGAGAGACCCTGTCTCAAATGCTTTAGGGGCTGGGGAGATGCTCAGTGGGTGCAAGTGCTTATTCTGCAAGCCTGAGGACCTGGGTTTGGATTCTAACACCCACATATAAAGCCAGGCACAGCCATGCATACCTGTAACCCTGACACTGGGGGACAGAGACAGGTGATCCCTAGAGTTTGCTGGCCAGCCTGGCTGAAGCAGTGAGCTTCCAGTTCATTGAGGGACCCTGTCTCAAGGCATTAAGGCAGAGTGGTAGAGGAAGACATAGGATATCCTGACCTCACATGCATACACCACACATACAGACAGCACAGACAAAGATGCACAAAGGATAAACATATACTGAGCTGGTACACGCCTGATGACCAGGGCTTGTATCCTGAGCTTACAGTGCTCACCCTGGGCTGGAAGGTTTCTTTTTCTTTTCTTTTTTTGAGACAGGGTCTCCCTGTAGCCCCCAGCTGACCTGGAACTCACTGTGGAGACCAGGCTGGCCTCAGTCTCACAGAGATCTGCCTGCCTCTGCCTCCCGAATGCTGGGATTAAAGGCATGTGCCACCACGCCTGACATTGCTGGCAGGTTTCTTAAGAAGCAGAAATCCTTCTGTGCTGAACACAAAGTCCACTTTTCCTCCTTTCTCCCCTTGGGAATTGGAGCCTCTCTGCCCTACCCTGGCTCCCCTCATCCTAAGGGTCTTTGAGGGCTTGCTCAATGAGAGACTTGACATACCTCCTTTCTCCTTTGTCATCTCTCCCATCAGGTTCAGCGTCCCGTCCCTCTGACACCTGCCAACCCCAGCATGCCTCCCTTGCCACAAGGCTCACTCACCCAGGAAGAACTCATGGTCTCCATGGTTACCGGCCTGGCCTCTCTGACATCCAGGACCTCCATGGGCATTCTCGTGGTCGGAGGAGTGGTCAGTGACAAGTCCTGCTTGGGAATGGGGAGGGCCTGAGGGACTCAGTGAGTGTTCTCCATCCTGGGTGCTATGTGGCCTGAGCCTTTTCGTGTAAATGTATTGTCCTGTTTAGACATCAGCCAACTAACAGGATGTTCCCATTTCTTGAATATGGCCTGCCAAAACCCCACAACTAGAGTTTGAACCCTCCCCCATCTGACTCTGAGGCCTCTTCCTCCGTGTGGGGCAGATAGGGAAGCCCCTGAGGTACTGAGCCTGGTTCTAGAGAAGTGAGGAGAGAGCGTACGTTCTTCACAGGTGAGGAAACAGCAAAACTCGAGAGAAAAGAGGCACACCTGGGCCTTGAACTGTCCTCTCCCACCTCTGGATTCATGACTCCAACCCAAGGCCTGAGTAGTAGGCTGCCCTCCTGATTTCTGGGGAGGGCAGAAACTCACCATATCCTGAGTTTTAAGACACAGTGCAGCTGGCCTGAGATCTTCCTGGTGCTGCTGACCAGCTTTTGTGCTCTGGAGACAGTGGAGAGGCAGAATGGTGGCAGAGTGACTGTCACAAACACTGCCAAGTGTTGTTTTCGCTGCACGTAGGACAAAGACCTGTCCCTCAGTCTCGAGTCATACCCTCTGTGACTTTCCACAGATAGTACCTAGCAGAGGGTTGTGAACTGTGACACTGACACTTGATAGTTCTGGAGCCTTTCTCTAGCATCCTGTTCACCTAGACAACCCTCCAAATCGAACTCATACCATGTGTCTCTTGTGAATGAAGAAACTTAGAAGGAAACTGCCCCAAGTTCACACAGCCAGGATGACAGGAAGCGAGAGTCTTGATGCTTGACTCCAAGCCCCATTCTGTGACCCAAACTATACTCCCTCCAGCTAGCTACTGAGGAGTGGAGCTGAGTTCTTTCTGTTGTCTTCAGAACACCTCATGTTTAGGAAGCCTGTCTCCCGGGTTTGAGGCTGTAGAGAGCTTGCCTAGCATGGGTAAGGCCCCATATTACATCCCCAGCACTGGAAAACCCCTGCTTACCTAGATCAGGACTGTGGTCCTTACCCCATACTTTGCATAAGTCAAGTCAAACCAACACTTAGTTTCCCTCACTTCCAATTGGAAATGTCCCTGGCCTTCTGGCCTCAGTGCGGTCAAAGATGTTGGAAGGTGAACTTCGGGTAGAAACTCAAAGCCTCCTGTGCTGAGCAGGGTCACAGAAACGTGCTTGGAGCTGACCATGTCTCCCTACAGGTGTGGAAGGCAGTGGGCTGGCGACTCATCGCCCTTTCTTTTGGACTCTATGGTCTCCTGTACGTCTATGAGCGTCTGACCTGGACTACCAGGGCCAAGGAGAGGGCCTTCAAACGCCAATTTGTGGAGTACGCCAGTGAGAAGCTCCAGCTCATTATCAGCTATACCGGCTCCAACTGCAGCCACCAGGTCCAGCAGTGAGTGGCCCAGGGACCTGAGGGAGGACATTCTGATACCCTCTGAGTATGACCTGGGAGGCCCTGGGCCTTGAGTATCATGGCCCTGGCACTTTGGGCTGTGTAGTGCTAACTTTGAGTTCAAGGATGACAGATGGGTCCAGGACACCCTCTGTCCTAGGCTGAGGCTAGGTAGACCTCCAGTGACCCAAGTGGGGAATGGGAAAAGGAGAAAATCAAATCAGCAGATGCCTCAGGGACTTTGATTTCATTTCATTCTTCTAAATATTTGTTTTTATAATTTTAATTATGTGTCTGTGTGTGGGTATATGCACATGAATGCAGTGCCTGTGGAGGCCAGAGGCAATGGATCCCCCCTAGAGTCGAAGTTACAGGTGGTTGTGAGCTGCCCAGTGTGGGTGCTGGGAGCCAAACTCTGGTTCTCTACAAGAGTAGTATGTACTCCTAACCTCTAAGCCATCTCTCCAACCCCAGAGATTTTAAAGGTTGCCTGGAGGCTAGCAATGTAGCTCACTTGGCAGGGTTTGCCAACATTCATGAAGCCCTGGATTCAGTCCCCAGCATGACATAAACCAGGCATGGTGGTTCACACCTACAATCCCAGTACTCAAAAGGTGAAGGCAAGAGGATCAGGAGTTTAAGGTCATCCTTGGCTATGTAGGGGGTTTGAGGCTAGCCTGGGCTACAGGAAGTCCTGTCTCAGTAAAATTTTTTTTAAAAAGCCTTGAAGGGCATGTGATGCAGCTGTGAGGTCGTGTTGCCGCCTGTTCACAGTGCCTCATTGGTTGATGGTACTTGTACTTATGGGTGCTCCATCTTGGTTATGGGAGAGGTGGCTGCACTGCGTTCCCCCCCATGTCTTTCAACAAGGTCTCATAGCTTAGCCTAATCTCACACACAAAGCAATCCTCCTGCCTCAGCCTCCTGAGATTACAGACAGAAGCTGCCATGCTTGGCTTGTATTTTGGCCTTACTGTGATGTGGAAGAGCTGTTTTACACTTGCTCTTCCTTTCCTCTTGTAATTCTGTGAGCAGATACTGTTTTATTGGGGTGTACTTTCTCAAATGAGAGCACCAAGCAGCGCTGGGGATATAGCTTAGTTTGTAGAGAGTTTGACTTACATGTATTAAGGCCTGGGTTTAAGATCCAGCATCATACACAAAAAGGACACTGAGACTTAGAGCTTAGTCTCTTCCCCTGCCACTCAGGTGATAAGCAACAGGGCCAGAATCCTGGCCTCTGTGTCCAAGTTAGGTTGCACTGCTAGACAGCTGGGCCTCCTGTGGTCCTGCCCCGTGGCTTGGATGCGAGCGTTGAGAGCTGTTGGTGGTTTCAGCAGAGGTGGGAAGGATTCTGCCAAAGCAGAACCAAGTCAGGCAGGGATGTAGTCAGTCCCTGCTGCTGCTCTGGGTGGATTTAGCCTAAACTGTAGTGTGCCCAGTTGATCTTACCTCTGTCCTTTCAGGGAACTGTCTGGGACCTTTGCCCATCTGTGCCAGCAAGTGGACATCACCAGGGACAATCTGGAGCAGGAGATCGCAGCTATGAATAAGAAAGTTGAGGCTCTAGATTCCCTTCAGAGCAAAGCAAAATTGCTCAGGTGAGGTGTCCTGGTGGCCAGAGGTGGGGGAGCTAGGGTTCACCTGCCATCAGTGTGGATGCCAGGCACTCTGTGAGGATTTAGCTCCCTTGTGAGATGTTTGCAAGCTACTGGTGCTGGTGCTAGAGACCCAGCAAGACAGTGTCACTGATCTCATGGGGCTTGCAGCTGAGGCATAGTGACATCCCAGGAAGACAGGGCTGTCACATTGCAGCTTGGGGGCACCTTTTTTCAAACTCAGGGCCTTAGCACTTTACACAGGCTGTCTCAGTCTTTGCCATCCCTGAGAGCAGGTCGTCAGCTCTGCTTTCTAAATAGGAAAATTGGTGGCTACAGAGGCTGGGTGCCTTGTCTGGAGTCCCGTAGGAAATGGCCAGATGGGGCTTGGGGGTGCAGGTGGGCTGCATATCAGTTCTCCTTGCACTGTGCTAGGCCTGATAACCCACCTCATATTTAGTTCCTGTCTGAGCCCAGGAAAGGGAAGGCAGAGCACATGTCCACCCACTGGGGAAGTCTTGGAGCCAGGTCTTCAGGGTCTCTGTAGAACTGTGAAGTTTATTCAGAATAGGGTCATAGAAGGGTTGGGTTCTGGATTCTGGTCCTGCACCCTGTCAGCTTGCTTCTGTGAAATGGGAGTATAATTTCATAACAACCATAGCTAAAGGTAGAGGTGCTCTGCTAAGTCCTCAGCCTGCCCAGGCTGTGATAACATCAGCACACGGGGACCTGTACTTCCTGCCTTCCACCTCTGATGTCAGAGGCCCACAGGGGACAGAGCCAGAGGGGAGGTACTTGGAGGGTTTCGGCTCCAGCCCCCATCAGATCAGCGGACTTTCCCTCCCGTGCCTGGCCTGTGTGGATGTGCACCTCCTGTCTGTCACCAGGGACATACTGCCAACCCTCTGGGGCTCTTGGGGTACAGGGTTTCTGTTGCTGCTTGTCAGCCGTGGGGACAGGCTGAGCCAACACCCCAACTCCTCACCCGTTGAGCAGGAAAGCTGACTTCAGCAGCTTGGGAATTTGCCCTGGGCTGAAGTGAAGCGTGAAGCGTAGTAGTTGATGCCTGTAATCCCAACCTGGGCTACATAGTGGGATCCTGTCTCAACTCATCTCTTTTAGAAAAAAAAAAAAAAAAAAAAACAGGACTGGTCATGGTGTCAGAGGCAGGTGGACAGGTGGATATCTGTGAGTTCCAGACCAGCTGGGGCTACAAGGAGACCTTGTCTCAAAAAAAAAAAAAAAAAAAAAAAAAGGCAGACTGCAGACTGGAGTGTCACTATTGGAGACGTAGATGAAACTGCAGGCAGGCTGGTACAACCTGCCGCTGGCCTACATCTACAAAGCAACCATGTCTTTACAGGAATAAAGCTGGCTGGTTGGACAGTGAGCTCAACATGTTCACACACCAGTACCTGCAGCCCAGCAGATAGTGGGCAGCTGGGACGGGGCCTGCATGGAGAAGGGGCAGGGCTGCCTGCCTACCATCAACTTCTGTCCCTGGCCATTGCAGAGAAGTAAGCGCCCACTGTCTCGTATCGTTTTGAGCCCTTTGGCACCAGTTACTCCCCACCCCGACCCCTGCAGGAAAACCCTCTGCCTCAAACCCCAAAGGAGACTTTGATGACAACTGGACAGCTCGGCACCAAGGAGTCGTGCGAGGCCATGTCTGCTTACCGTGTGCGCTTGGTTGAGGTTCACTTGATAAGGCCTCGGATCACAGTGGCCCTACAGAATGACTGATGGAGCCTTCACATGTATCAGGCAGACACTCCATCTTCTCCAGCCCTAGTCCACCTGCCCACCTTTGTACTCCAGCACACCTACAGAGAGAGACCGTGTTTGGGGTGACTGGACTTCCTTCCCAGAAGAATTCAAGATAGTTCTGGAAGGGCCAAGTGTGTCCCAGGGATTATATGTTGTGGTGTTTGCCCCCAGCTTTAGCGCTTTGTCCCACGTGCAGTCTTTCCGCTGTGCTTGGTATCCAGGCTCAGCAAACACCCCAGGCTTTAGCCTCAGGCAGCTCATGTGGGAAGGTAGGGACACTGGAGCCAGCCAGAGCAGAGGGAGGAGCTCAGGAGAAGGTGTGTGGATCTGGTGTCAGAGTGATGGTACTGTGGATGGCTGGCATCACAGTGAGGTGAACTTGCCTCTTCTTGCCACTGAGGCCCTTGCTTTGTTTCAGCCCTTGGTCCCTTAGTCCTGGTTTATTATTTATGAGAGCAAGTTCAGTCCAGGTGGTTGAAGGATGTAGAAGGAGGGATGGTGGAAGATGGGGGCTACCCAGGATGGTTGGAGGTTGGTGCAGAAGAGAGCCCTCCCTCTGACTTCCCTCTGAGAGTCTTGCTGGCCCCACTAACGAGTGTGTCCCCACTTTGCTCCAAGCTCCCCTAGATAACCATTCTCTGAACTGTATCCTGTACCTCATGACTGCAGCTGGCCACAAGACAGCCACAATCAGTGTCTCACAATCCCAATGAATGTTGTGTTCTTTTTGAAAGAAAAAAAAATTAGAATAAATATGAATTTTTTTTCAGTGTAGCCCAAGAAATGAATGAAATTTTGAGCTTATACAGTAGGTAAACTTTATACCACCAAGGGAAAGAAGTTTCTGAGAGAAGTTTAGCAAAGCACTTTAGTTTCTTGCTGCTAACTGTTCTGTGCTCCTTCTCTGGGGTGCAAACAGAGCTTGACACAGTGAGCTTGCTTCCGGTGTAGTCAAGGTGATGCGCCTGCCTGAGTTACCTGTGTCGCTGCTGATCGTATTGGAAACTAAAATAAAGCCCAAGTTGTGACCCTGTGTGAGCTCTCTGCCTGGCTGCCAGCCCTTGGTGCAGAATCCTCTGGCCTAGCTCAGCTTGTGTTCTGGTCTGTGGAAGAGCACACGGCCAGCCTGCAAGGCCCAGGAACTCCAGTGTGATTCCTGCAGATTTTTCTGTAACTGTACCCATTGAGTTCTCATGTAAAAGGCAAGTGACTCAGACTGGCTTCCCCACTTGGCCTTCTGAGAATTTGGCTGTGACCATTCTTATTTAAGGGTCCCTGGAAGTGGATGATGGGACCACTGGTGGGTCTCTAGAGACCCACAGCTCAGCTGATGGCAACCTTATCTTTCCAGATTCCCAGGCCACAAACCAAGGAGGGGTCAATCCACCATCACACATGCTGTACCTACTCTGTCAGTTTCTGCCTGAATCTTCAAGACCTTGACCTCTTACCCCTCCTTCACAGATGTGGTGGACTGACCTCGATTACTGCCTCCTGCCCTTTCCCCTATCCCACCCTGATCTGTGACTGACCTGAAGCAACCCTGACAACTTTTGCACCTAGCCCAGCTCATCTCAAGCTTCAAGCACTGCTGTGGCAGAGTTCTGCCCATCTGGAGCCAAACACAGGCCCTTGCCGGGGCTCTCCAGATTCAGCCTTCTGTCCCTGCCTCCACCTGCCCAAATGCTGTTTCCTTGATGCTCCTGGTATGGCTTAAAGCCTCTGCCCTGGTTGATCCTCTTTCCATCTTCCCAACAGGTCCCAGCTAGCTCCTACCTCATACTGTCCCCTCAGTGAGGTTAAGTAGACCATCCTACTGACAGCTCGCATCCTTCCCGTCCCCTGACTCATGAGTGCCCTCACCCTGCGTGTAGCGCATGGGATATGTGTGTGTGTTCCCAAACAATTATCTCACAGGAGAGGGTGTTTTGTCTCCCCTGCTAGAACGTACTCTGCAAGGGCTGCCATTCTGGTCTGTTTCACTTTTTGATATCTGCCAGTGCCTGGTACATATCATAGCTGTGAAAAGACAGGTGAGTCCACACGTGTCAGTCCCCTAGCCTTGGGGGCAGAGCTCAAATGCTCCTGGAAACCTGTGGGTGTGCATAGTTCAGGGGACATGAAGTGTGCTGTGTACTGAGAATTCAGCATGTTCGGCCCGTCTGTGGAAACTGAAGCTCAGAAAAATCAGATTAGCTGAAGTCTCGGCATCTGGGCTGACTGGGTAGGGGAGGGTGGAGCCTGCCTCTGAGCCCAGATCTTTTTTTTTTTTCTTCAAATTTTTAATTTATTTTCATTATATGTGTGTTTTGTCTGCCTATATGTAAGTGCACCTGTGTGTTCAGTGTCTTTGGAGGTCAGAAGAGGGTGCCAGATCCCCTGGAACTCGAGTGACTTATGACGGTTGTTAGCTGCCATGTGGGTGCTGGGAACTGAACCCGAGTCCTCTGCAAGAGCAGCCAGTGCTCTAATCACCAAGCCATCTCTCCAGTCTCTCTGAGCCCAGATCTTAAATTTCCCAAGGCTCAGCATCTTTCAAATGTGCTTTTTACCCTACCTTCCATTATAAATACACTGTGCTCTAGTACACACACATGTGTGTATGGGGGCGGGGGCACACAATATTTAACAGTTTTCTGTCACAAGATGATGCCTCTGACCTGATGAGTTAGAGGCTCGTGGCTTGAAAAATGGTGTTCTAGAGCTTGCCACCAAGCCTGATGACCTGAGTTTGATTCCTGGAACCCACATGGTAGGAGAGAACTGACTAGTAAACAAGTTGTCCCCTGACCCCAACACTTACACCATGCACACACACATACAAAATAAGTGTAGTAACAGTTTTATAAAGTGCTCTAGGCCTTGCCTTCTGCCACATACCAAGTTAGTTATTCTCAGTCATGGCTGGATTTATCCTACATCATCTCACTGGAAAGTTCGGGGATGGAGGTGGTAGGAATTTTAGTCCCCAGTACACTATTTTCATTTAATCACAAATACCACAGAAGCACGAATGTACACTGTTCGGATGTTCAGACAGGGCCCTCACACAGGTCAGCCAGGTTCACTCTGTCCTCAAGGGCTTCCAGTCTGAGTGGTACTCAGGCTGGCGACCAGAACAGCTGACTTGAGCTTAGCATGTGTAAGACATTCAGGTGGCATCTCTTGCACAAATGAAGTTCATTAATTCAGCAAGATTCCTAAGTGCCTTTTTTCTTAAGTTATTTTTCTTTAATACATTTATATTTTTGTGTTTGTGGGGGGTGCACATGTGGAGATCAGAAGACATCTTGGAGTCAGGTCTCTCCTTCCACCACGTGAGTCCCAGGGATTGGATCAGGTTGTCACCAGGCTTGGCAGCAAGCACTTTACCCACTGAGCCATCTCACTGGCCCCCTAAGTGCCTGTTATATGCTAAGCACAGCTCTTGGTACCACAGACAGAGATAGATAAGGTAGATAAGACTCAAATATCGGGACTGGAGACATGGTTCAGTGGTTAAGAGCACTGACTGCTCTTGCAGAGGACCTGGGTTCAGTTCCCAGTACATACATGGTGACTAGCAACTGTCTGTAACTCCAGTTCCAGAGGGATCAACACCCTCTTCTGACATCCGGAAGGCATTGCATGACAGCGCTCTTAACCACTGAGCCATCTCTCCAGCTCCTATTTTTTATGTTTAAAGATATCATTTATGTATGTGTCTGCATTATTACATGGACACTAGGATCCGAAATCCAGTCCTTGTGATTATGCAGCAAGTGCCCTTAACCATTGGGCAGGTTATCCATCCCCTCCCCCACTTTTTTCTGAGATAAGATCAAGCTGGCCTTGAACTTCCTAAACCACCTTCAACTTCTGATCTTGCCTCCACCTCCTGAGTGCTGCAATCACAGGCACCCCATGCACGGTCATGCTCAGTTTATGCAATGCTGGGGCTCAAACCCAGGGTTCTGTGCATGCCAGGCAAGCACGCTACTATTATCTGAGCTTTATCCCAAGCACACACACCTCTTTCCTTAAAATTTATTTTGCGTGTGTATGAATTGGGGCACGCGCATGCCATGGGGTGCATGTGTAGGTCAGAGGATAGTTTTCAGGAGTCAGTTCTTGCATTCCACCTTGAGATAGGGTTTTGTTTGTTATGCAGAATACTCCAGCATATTCCAGACTCTTCTCTCTTTACCTCCCATCTCACACAAGAGTACTGGGGTTACAAATCGAGTCACCACATGCAGCTTTTTTTGTGTGGGTTCTAGGGACTAGGCTTGGGTCTGCACAGTTAACACGTTACCTCCTGAGCCATCTCCCTGGCTCCGCCTCTGAGGGAGGGTCCCTCTGTGTAGTCCAGGCTGTCCTAAAGTTTACAGTTCTGCCCCAGCCTTGCTACTGCTGGCATTACAGACTTGTGGCACCGTGCCTGGCAGGTCAGAT